TCTGTGTCATGACTGCAACAAGTTAAGAGCACATGTATTATCTAACACCACCGTGTCCCCAACTTAACCCTCCTGTAATGATCTTAGGAAATCTTCTGGCCATGCTCTACAAGAGGAAGCAGTATCTTGACTTCCAGATACCAAAGATGCAGGTTTTCACCACCACTGATAGACAATGTCTCCATGTAATTTTCTTTTTTTTTTTTTTTCCAGACAACCAGCAGAAAATCTCCAAGTAGCCCTTGGAAAGCAAGACCTAAGGAAGAGAGAGCACCAAGAGCAAATATTTGATGTGGAGAAGATCATCGTGCATCACAGATACAGAGACAAGGATGGTGTCCCACTCAATGACATTGGTAAATCCCTTTTATTGAATATTCATGTGGCTCGCCTCCAACCTCAGTTGTTTGAAGCACTTCTCTCCAACTAAAGTCAATGTAAAATTCTCATTGAAATATATCCTGGAAACAATTAGGCCAAATTGTGGTTCAGACCCTTTTGAATCTTTGGGATGTGAATTATGATGGGCAAGGAGAAGTCACTGGCGGGGGGAGGTAAAAAAATAGGGGCAGGTCCAGCATGTAGTGCAAATAGCACATCAGGTCCATGCAGCTTTGCAGAGGGTTGGGTCACAGGCTAATAATGATGGCTAGGGATCAAAATTAGCTACAAATACTTTTTGTTGTTGTTTATCTTCTCTCCAGCACTACTTAAATTGAAGCCAGTTGATGGTCACTGTGCAGTGGAAACAAAGTACGTGAAGACAGCATGTCTGCCGAACTTCTTCTTTCCCGCTGGGACTGACTGCTTCATTTCGGGATGGGGCGCAACAGAGAGAGGTATTTATGGGCTAGCTGGATTTTGGTGGGTACCTCTGTGGCAAGGTGGGCTGGTACTTGCAGCAGCAATTGCCAGACCCAAATGTGGACCTAGGCACTTAGTGAAACCAAGACATGGAATTCAAAACTAAGGACTGCTAAACCCTGCCATGGAAATTACTCATTAGCAGAAATCTCCAACTGCTAGACCAACCAAACCTTTCAGAGTTCTGAAAAATTCCCTGACGCGTTTTTTTTGCTTGCCATCTGACACACCGCATCGTGGTTTCATCTGAAGCCAGCAAAAGAAGCAAGAAGGTATCAAGAGAGAGGCTATTGTATAGTTTGTGTGTTTCAAGACAGGACCAAGAAAGACGGGAACTTTCACATGGTTTTCCAGCCCATTGGGTCAGATAAAGCTTTTCAGAAGCAGCATCTGGATCTTCAGATGCGCTGAAAAATAAAAAAAAAAATCCAAAGCTTTTCAAGTTTAACCAGCTCTATCCAAAACCTTTCTTGCCCGCGGTAAATCCTAAGGGGAGAAATTACTATGCTTAAAAAAAGATAATGGCAATTTTCTGAAAAATGCATTTTCTCATGTTCTGATTGATGTGTTGCTGTAAAGCAGCAGAAGGAAAATGTGTCACTGAGGCTGCAGTAGGTGTCCTAGTGCTTTGTGACTGATACAGCCTGATACGATACATAGGACCAAATTCTCCCTTCTGATGTAACTCTCATTGAAGTCCACAAGAGACAAGTGTGTTCATTTGATCAGAATGCACCAACAGAATTTAATGGACATTTTTTAAAAGTTCCAAATAAAAAGTCTCTCTTAAAAAGGGTACGGGGAAATTTTTTTTTTCCCCCCAACAAAGAATATCAAGTACCCTGTACGTGTTCAAACCAGATTGGCTCCTTCTTTGAGCAGAGCTATTATTAGCATTTCAGGAAATCACTGCAGAAATGGAATATTTCCTGAAACTCAAGCAGAACCAAACTTATAAACCACCTTTAATTATCTGCAGATGTAGTGCTTTGAAACTCTGGCCATTGCCTTTAGATGTCAAGTTATGTCTTTAGATTCACTATAATTAATCATTGCCCTTAAATATTGTATGATTTCTCAGTTTTCATCTGTTTCATTAGCCCGCATGTTAAAACATCTAATGGCACCAGCCTGAGAAGTGCTGAGCAGCTCCAAGTCCCCCTGGGACCCGTGGGAGCTGCAGACGACCCGCACCTTTGAAAAGCAGGATTACGCGGGTAGAGCTGATCGGAGCCAAATCCCAACAATCCGACCTTGGTTTTGTTCAGGCAACAACTCTGTGTCCTGAGTGAAGCTTCCAGGCTCCAACTCTAACCCTTATCATTTCAGACAGACACTTCCCAGGCTAGCCCATGCACCCCCCAGCTCTTCCCCCTTCCCATCCAAATGGCAAGCAAGCTACTATTTTGAACAAAACCAACAAGTATCAGGATTGGGAGGAAGGTGACTCCATTTTTTTGGTGCACATCCCATAGGTGATATATCTCATCAACTGTTAGATGCCAATGTCAAGCTGATTTCACAGACGAAATGCAACGCACCAAGAGCATATGATCTCTTACTGGATGAAAGCATGTTTTGTGCAGGAAATCTTCAGAGACCCAGAGCTGATTCTTGTCAGGTCTGTTGCTTTTTCTGTATTCGAACACTAATTTTTTGTGTAGTCAGGCTGTGCAGAGTAATAACTTTGGCAGGGTGCTGCATATGTATCTGTTTCTCCCATCAGTGTATTTCAACAGCCATCATCTTTCTTCAGTATGGTTTGAGATGTACATCCCTAGAGCTAATGTTGTCACTGTCAGACACAGGCAGATCTATGGAAGACTAGCCTGGGAAGTTTGGCTTCTGAGGCAGTTTGTCATAATAACCTGAAAACTTGCCATTTTTCTCTCAGTTTTCTTATGGCCTCTGCCATGAGCACCAATTTGGATCTGATTTTCACTATCAGAGATAAGACTTGCAGGGAAAGTCAGGATTGATATTTCTTTTCATTACAGCTAGTGCAAATGTGAAGCAAGTCCATATTTGTACTGTTGTGAGACAGGGAAGAGTTTGAGCAATGCTCCCTGAGGAGCAAACTACCACTGCAAGCATACTTTGCAACAGAAATCACCAATAAAAGAAAAAAATGAGACCAACCAGCTCAGCATAAAGTTATTCTGAGGGGTGTGGGAGAGATCAAGTGTTTTCATTTACACCAAGGATCACATCTTTATCTTCGTGAGCTTAGGCTCTGAATGCCTGGCACTTTCATGCCAGGCAAATTTCATGTGACCTGTCAGATGTACATCACAGACCTGAACAAACAAAAATTTACATCCAAAAAGTTTGGTGTCATTTGACCTGGTTCCAGAAGTGCAAGCCTACTCAGGAACAGAGCAGCATCTGATGGTACATTCGATAGAAAAAAAACATCATTACAGCTTCAAAGTCTTATGATGGCAGAGGAGCATTCTCATTTTGGTTAACAATTTGCTTCATGTTTTGGACATGTGTGCTTTCTCTCATCAGGCAGACTCTGGAGGCCCGCTAACTTGCGTAGAAAACGGCTCCTACTATGTATACGGCCTTGTGAGCTGGGGTGATGGGTGCGGGTTAAAAAACAAGCCAGGAGTTTATACCCAGGTGACAACATTTCTCAGTTGGATTAAATCCAAAATTGGGTCTGAGTCAAGGTCACTTCATTAGGAGACAGCTTTGGAATGACAAATGGTAAGCTTGAATTATTTACTTACTCTTATCATTTCCCAAATGCCTCCTCTTCGACCAAAAACATTATTGATATTTCCTCATGGCCTACATGGGGCATCCTACATCACCACCTTGAAAACAGCCTTAGAGTATTTGCTAGGAGGTCAAGTGACAGTTTTCCTGTTGGGGGCTTTGAAATAAGCCCACATTTTTTAGGCAAAACAGATCAGACAGTAAAGCAACTCCATTGCTTCCCCAAATCAATCAGAGGCGCAGCTGCCAATGTTTCCAGTTCTGCTTTTCAAGCCCTGAAAAGTCTGCAGGCTCAGCTGCTGCCACCCATTCCCTCTTCTCCTCATGCTCCTGGCTAAGGTGTATTTTTTCTGCACTCAACAGGCCCTGACACCTCAAAACTATTGGTGTGTGCTCCTAAAGCCAGTGTCGTTTTTCACATACATAAAAATCATCATGTGCCTATGTTTGCAAGACTGCAGCCATTGGAGTTATCTGAGGAGGGAGGATCAGGCAGGAGATTTATTTTTAAAAGCACTTCTGTAGGGCAAATAACCACAAATTCCATCAGTGATGCATTCCAGATTGAAAAAGCAAAAAAAAAATTCACTATTAGAATTATCCACTTTATTCCTGATTAGAGGATAATTACTTCTTATGCTCCAGATCTACAGTGGTATATATGGGCTTAACTTCACTTCATACCAGCGAGACATAGGGGATATTAAATACCATTAAAAAAATGGGTCTGAAGCTATTGGGTAATTCTTGGGCTTTCATGGGTTTTGCAAGTTGAATTGTGTATTTTTTTTGCCCAATGATTCTGGAGCCCCATACAGAAATTTGAAAAACCAGAGATTGGTATCAAATCAGGACGTAAAGAATAGACATGTTTGTGAAGAGTCAATGCATTAAAATAGTAATGTCCCTCCCATCTGAATTCCAGGGTTTACAACCTTCTCTAAGAAGCTACCTAATCTATCAATAGCTACCCATATTGCCATAATTTCTAACAAACTAATTCTGATTTTTTGCTTTGGAAGATTTGAAAAAGACTGAAGAACTAATTGTGATCTGAATACATCCTGTTAATCAAGAACAAACTCTCTGATGTCCGCCAAAAGGCGTGCCCTTGGTTAGTCCGTGATAACTTTCCTTCCACTGGCCTTCGTCTTGTTCTTCTGTTAAACCACTTGAACCACACTTCTGTATTCTCTTAGGTCAATGGTGCCAATAATCCAGGAATATAAAAATCTCCAAAGATTACAAGTATGGAATAGTATTCATCTGATTTATTCATTACAAATTATTTTATATTCTACCATTCACCTGTAGTACAAAGCTGAGCCTGCCAGACACCTAGTACTAATTTCATTTACAGCCTTAAATAAATACCAGATTGTGTAATACATACAGTGATAAAATATCCACACAAAAATGTTATAAAGATGTTATAAATTGCAATGTTTAGGTTGCTTTTTAAAACAAAAAGGTTTTAGACACCCTCTATTGTGCTTCCCAGAAAAGAGGAAGAGCTACAGGATTTGCAGGACAAGATAAAAATCTATTTGTGTTATTTCATGTTTCTGTTTACTTCTGATACAGCTGCATTTTCCTTCTTTTCACTTGCAGAACTTCTGAAGCATCAGGGTTGACTGTGACCTGCTGAGATCCGTCCGTCTCCAATTGGTCCTGTTAAATCAAACCCAACTAAATTGTGAGGACAGCCAGTGGACAGGACAAGGTTTTAAAAATTATTAGATAAAAATATTTGTATATTAAAAATCACCTCAACTGGCAAACAAATGAGAAAAATCTGAATCACTGCTCTGCACTGAGCAAATCTCTACAATGGAAAAGTGCAAAAAATGGAGCCATTCCTGTAAGTTAGATACTACACATATCGAAGGACTGAACGTGCTCATGTCCTAATTTCTAAATTGAGCCCTAAATAAAGAGCAAACCAGCAAACACCTGAGTTCCAGGTCGATTGCACACCTGTACATTTCCCTGGGACCATCACATCATTATCATATGTAGGACTTAAGAAGATATTGCCTGCAGTTGCCACTGCCTGCATTCCTCAACCGCAGTTATAATTTATTTCCTGAGTAAATTTCCAGATGGGAATGTAAATCATGGCTATGCCCTGTTTCTCATGGGCTGGCTTATTGTTTGACTTGTTGCCAAAGTTAAAATTTAAATTAAACAAGTATTTAAAGTGCAGAATTTCTCTTTTATTGTAACTTAATCTTCCTAATTGTTGGTTCTACAAAGTCTCTGTATGGAATTTTGGTCTCTTGTGCTGGGACACTGCAGACTTGGACTCATCCCTGTGGAGGTAGGGAGAAGGAAAACCTGGTAGATCCCAGCCTGTAATTTCTTGCATCTTGGGCTGGACAGAGGTGGAGGAGGCTGGAGCATCTCCCCTTTGCAAAAAGCCTCCCACAGTATTGGGGAACCTCCCACAGCACACGTTATGCTGTCAGGAGTCTACACCGAGCCTGTCAATACAGTTGCCAGTGGAGATTACATGGAAACACAGAAATGTCTTGCTGAAATTAGGAAAAGAGAAGGGGGGTTGTTCAGGGACTCCCTTCCACCTCTACTTCTGCTTTCCATGGAGGTACCAGGACAATTGGAAATCGGACATCATCCACAAGTTAAGGGAAACACAACCTATAGCATAAGTAAATCCTATCCCATGGCACTTCCTAGTCCCTACAGGAATTCCTCAGCCATGACAGTGCTGAATTCTCTTGAGAAGTTCATTCAAATTAAGGTGTACACAAAGCCACAAAGCTTCATGAGGGAAGTATATATATTCTGTTCAAATAGCGGGGAGAACTGTTGAGTTCAGGGAGCATTCAAAAGCATGAACAGGATGTGTGCCTGCCTGCCTTTTAGAGAGCAGAGCTGCTGGGATTTGTAACAAGAACGGTTTACTCTACTTACATCTCCAGGTCCATACTGAGCAGAAGCACCCTGCAATCCCATTTCCCGAATGTATGCCAACTCAGCAGCTCTTCTTGCCATTTCAACTTTGTGAGAACCTGGGGGAGTCCAGCCAATGCCTCTGAGCCAGTTCAAGTCAGACTTGTATTTTACCTGAGAGAATGAAGCATACGCCAGTGTGTATTATTTTGTTTGGCTCTAATCAAATCACATGCCCTGGGTATTCAAGAGAGAGCATATAAAGAGCAACAGAGTCGATAATAAACAAAGTGCTCATTTTCAGCAAACAGAAAGTAGTAGTAGTAGTTCTTTCAAGAACATGATTTTGTTGATGAGTAAGGTCTGCGAAGCACATTGCCACAGACAGCTCCTAGCACTTGGAAGGACAGCGTCGCTCAGCTGTACTTACATCGCTCTGCAGCTTGTAGGCCTGCTTTGCATGCTTCACATTTAGCTGCTCAGGATCACAAGTGTACTGGTGGAAAGGCTGCCTGTAGTTGACATTGCTTGCAAGCTGCTGGCTTCTCTTAGCATGGAGGAATCCTGGCTGGTTGAGGTGACTCTGGAACTGTGCCATGTTTTGGGCATATCCACTCCTGTATTGGTTGTCACTCTGGAGTTTCCCCACTCTGAGGACATGCCTGATTTTGGGATCATCATTTGCACTGAGGAATCCAATCTGCTGGCCTCTGTCTCTCAGGAAGGCTTCTCTGTATTTGTACTGCAAGAAGTGCGGAGGAAAATTTTCACATTCATATTACCTTCAAAATCTGGTATGAAATAACTTACCCTCCCCTAGCTATCAATAATGCATCCTGTAGTGCACCAAGACCAAGGGTTTGTTTGATATCAAACTATACCTCCTAATCTAACCAGACGCTTTAGAAGAATACCCTCTGTGCTAATTTTTAAAGGAGTAGGAAGACTTAGGGAGCCCAAAATGCTTATCTCTCAAAAACAATCAGAGGTCCTCTTATTGTTGCATTCTTGGGTGCACCCAATACACAGCTCAAGCAATGAAGCTTCTCCATCTTCAGCTTTCTTGCCAACTGTGGTCTTCCGTGTTCAAAGGTGACCCACTTTATTCTAGATCATGCTTTAACTATTCGTAGCCTAGTACCTATTTTATTTAACTACATCATAATATGCTTCCTTCCCAAGAATAACTCTTTGAAGTGAAACAGAGCAGCCTCGTATTGGACATGATTAATGGGAACCTTTAGTTGGAAATCTTTGCACTTAACCAGCATTTGGTTTCACCAGGTCATCAATTTTCCAAACCAGAACGAGGTTCACTTACGTCAGAATTCACCCATTTTTACAGGGTGGGGGTGGCATGAGAAGAGGGTTGGGAAGCGTTTGAAACAGAATGATTCTTACATCACTAGCAATCTCTCTTGAAGCCTTTGCTGTCTGGAATGGGATGGCATCAATCCTTAAATCATAGCCAGACGCCCTTGTCTGTTCCCAAGATGTTTTATACAATTTCTGTGTTGAAAAGAAAAGAACAAAACAGTCATTTCCCCCTGCAGTTTCTTAAATGCAGTCCCATAACTGCAATAATAAATGTTTTATCCTACTGGGTTTATTTGTATCAAGAGTCATCAGTACCATCTCTAAGGTTTTGATCCAGTTCTATAGCACTTCAACTTCTTTTCTATTCACCATAATGATAAAATGCCTCATCTGAAAAGTGCCACCAGGGTTTCCTTTTGTACTTGAATGTGGTTGTTTTTGATGTGATTTAATTTCTATTAGAAACTGTGATGCATCAGTCACATCAATATTGCATTGATATTGCCCTTATTCTCTCTTTTGATGCATCCACTTGCAGTGTCTTGGGTTTCGTGGCATCATAATTTCAATATCAGTTATTTCAAGCTTTTCGACTGATCCCTGTCTCTATCCCCAGCCACATGTGGCTTCATTAACTCATATGGAATAACAGCCAGTTCTAACATATTTAATGTGACTTTGAGGATGTGAAATACATTTACATCCTGAAGAGAAATTGCTCTAGATTTGGTTCTTCTTCCATTAGTAGCTTTCTTAAAATAGCTTCCAGTCTGCATGTCCTGCTACACAGCCTTGGTATCTTAGCTGGCACTTTTGGCTGTCCCTTTCTGATTTTATTCATTTGCTTCCTGTAAGACTTTGATTCATTCTTTCTGGGGTTTGTGACCATATGAAAACAAGCACAAACTCTACATTTCAAAATATAATCTTCTGTTTCACTGTTGAATTTAGTGCTAGGTGGTGCTTAATTTGAAGGTAAACTGAGATGCCAGAAATCCTGCCAGACAACCTAGGTAGAAGCAATGCAAGCATTACTGTATGCCATGCTAACAGGGCTAGGTCTGATGTTTCTTTTGCATGCAATCACCCCTTTGCCTTTTTACCTTTTCCTCTATTGCTTCAAAGAATATAAATCCTACTAGTTTCCTTCACATGCAGAGCACCTATCACCAAACAAAGAACTCAAAACTTCTTATAAAGTAAGGTCACTTTGACCCTACAGTTAAGGACAACAGCTATTTAATCAGGGAACAGTAGATTAGGAATAGACTGAGTGCCTCTGTCTGGGATAATGTGGAAACAAAATCACTTTAAACCAATTCCACTCACTGATTCAGTTGCATTCAGGTTGACGACAACTGTACCTAAGGGATCAGTTCAAGACAGTGTTGCAGCTTCATGACGATAGATTATAGTCAAGGAAAGAGGATTCTCCCTCCTCCCACACCCAAACATAGATTAAAATTTGTACCTAACAATACCTATACTGAAAAACTGAAATCCTTAGTAATAGCTTCCTTCCCTAGAAAGCAGAACCAATTCTCAAAAGAAAAATCAACAGACTTTTCCTGATCCCTCCAGCCCAAACCTAGCAACATGTTGGCTGTCCACAGCCTCTGGCTTTTTCAGTTTTGGTCAGGCTCAGAGAACCTGGCTTCTACATATTCGTGAATGTTTTTCATCCCCAAGCAAGTTTGTTTTCCTTGATGACAGTTACCAAGTCAACTCCCCAAGGTAAAAGGCTTACTTACATCACTGATGTGAAGTGCATTCTGGCGGGCTCGGATAAAATCCGGATGATCAGGAGGCAGGGTGTACCTGTGCCTGGCTTCAGAGTCTCCAGCCTTGTACAGTCTCTGTGGAGTCAAAAGTCATTGAATGCAACTGATACTGTGAAGCAACATCGAGATCAATTCTTTCATGCATAATAGTGCAACAAAAGTTAAGATCAATTATAGGAAAATGAAACCTACATCACTGCACTGGAGGTAGCTGGTTTTAGCATGGATCAAATCTGGAGAGTCAACCACAGTGGTGAACTTCAAACTTTCTGGCTTTTGACGGTACTTTATCTGAGGGGGGAGGAAGCAACAAAAACAAGCAAAAAAACCCACAAGATGTTTCTGTTAATGATATATCACAATTCCAAGTGTGTGATAACTGGAGTAAAACTTAAAAGCCACCTTCCTGAAGCCACAGGATTAAAAACCTACTGTTCTGCTTTAGTCTCATTTGCTCTTTCAGCTAGGCAATGGGGATGCTGCTGCATCATTTCTGCGGTGCCCAGGCACCAAAATTCTTTTTTGTGTGTGCGCAAGAAGGCCTTCCCACTGAAAATTCACATGCAAAAAGCTTTGCAACACTACACTTTTGACAGCTCATAATTTTTCTCCATTAATGCATGATACTGAGCAGGTTAATGTCCCTTCAGTGTGGTTGTCAATGCTGCATCTCTCTATATCACTTCCATAGCCACCTGCTTAGAATTTCATAATGGAGTTTACCGCATTTATTTATTGCTACATGTTTTGTTTATACTCTTGTGTTTCATTCGGAATGGAAAATATTCAGCAGGTGTCACACAGTGGACTTGCATCTCCCATACTGCTTCTTGGTAACTTACACCTTGTATAAACAGGCTCCCACATCAAAAGGAAATGATAAGCTACATTCGTAAGTGTCATGTAACGAGGAGCCTTGTGGTAAACAATTCCTACAGACGTGCTATCCCATGAAAGATTTATCAGTTACCTCACTGATGAGCTCTCCAGCCTTCTTTACACTTTCTATCTGCGGAGATCTCAGAGCCATCCAACCAACTCCTTTCATGAAGTTCAGGTCTGATTTATAGCGATGCTGTTAAAAACGAAAATCGTTAGCTATCAGTTTTGTATCCACAGCTATTAAGGTTTTTTTAAAAAGACTCCCTGATTCATATTAACATTTTGAGGTTTTTCATTTGCCATGCACATATCACATCGTAAAGCCAAACTGTTTGCATTTGTTCATTCCACGAGGAATTAAATAATGTATCATATGCAAGTTACAAGAGAAGGCCCCACGAGTGAATTAGTATGACTCAAAGCAGTAAGTAATAACCTGTTTGTACTGGGCGTAAAAGAACCCCTTTTGAAATAATTTTCTGAGGTGAGTTCAAGTCAGGAATACTAATTATTTTATCTGGTGCATGCTTCCTCATTAACCCCATTTCTAGGAGGACACATTACTCTTTCTTCACTCACATTAAAGGCTTGCTCTACCTCCTAATCCAGTAAAGAAAACAAGGCAGACCCAATAAAAAGTGAAAGCCAGTAAAGTACCCACAATCCCAACAATTCTGACTTCTCCCTCAGAGTGACAGTGGCTCACTGTGTGACTTTATTCCAATCACCATTTTTTCAGGGTTTTTTTTTCCCTATACGCAAAAGAACGTAACAGCCAACTAGTTCAAGCATGTTGTACATTACTCTACCAGATAGTGAGGGTATCAGACAAAGCCACCTTCATAATTTCTCTGGATTCCTAACCTGTGGGGTCTAAAGGCAAAGAGGTTCTTGCTCATCTCCTATCCTTTGTAGGCAAGTTCTGAAGTACATGCTGTTAGGGTCTAAGGACTAAGTCCCTGGAAGTGCTACTTTCCTATCATGTAAGCCACCATCACTCACCAGTAAATAGTAAAAAATCCCACCTTTGTGGATCTAACTACCTGAATGCCATTGTGTGAGCCATTACAGGAGAAGGCGGGAATGGGAGTTGGAAAGGCAAAGAACTGCATTTAGCAACAGCTTCTATACCATCCCGAGAATATCCCAAAAATGTTCTGGCTGTGAAGAGTACATTTAGGGTACCAGACAGCAAGTACACTAAGTAAGAAAGAAGGATACAAGCTCTCCGGTGCTTTGATTGCCATTCTGACTTTCTTAGCTGAAATATCTGTTAATATCTGCTCATCAGATCTGACTAAATCCAACGAATATCCATCACTTTGTCTCACAATAAAATCCTGATCTCAGTAAATGATCAGCTCCCTAAAAACCTATAAAGAGTTAGCAAAACTTTCTGAACAACCTTTTTCACTTCCCTGCTAAACGATTCAGTCTCTTTTCTTACAAAACAAAAACCACCCGAACAGAGATTCCTGCTACAGAGCAGCTAATGACACTAGACCCTAAACTGTCAAAATACAGCTACCTGCATCCATGCAGCTTTATGCATGTGCTCAACATCTACATCCGTTTGACAGCACGTACAGACAATGGCTTGTGCCTGAACAAAGATACATGCTAAGGCAAACTGAGCATGGATGTGGCCCATGCTGAGATTCCATCATTTCTGTCATCAAGGTCTGTCTGAACTTATATTTGCATGAGCAATTTCTGTGAACACATCTGGGGAACTGGTTATTTAATATGACCATTTCTGTTTGCAAAATGACCTTCTAATGTATCCCAAATCAACCTCTGAGCATTTAACTTCCTGCTCAAAGAATTCCGTATGTAGAGCAGTGACTGTCAAACCACTGACTGGCTGTGATCCAAAGACCTGAGAGATGATTGTATATATCTGTCAGCTCTGGAATAAGTGACATGGACCACAGTCAGGTTCATAACATGAGAGCCTCTGATTCACATATATTCCATATGTGAGGAGCAATCAGGTATCTTGCTGCTACAAATACATAAGTTTCCAAATGGTCTTTCTAAAAACACTGCCCAGTGTCAACATACAACTTGTGCCAGTCACTCAAAGCTTTGTTATTGCTGAAGGAAGTCTTTACCTCACTCTGTAGCATGTGGGCTCTTTTGGCCCATTTCATCTTCATGTCTTCTGGGAGTGCTGTAAATTCATGAAGCCTCTTTCTGTAATCTTGATCACTCGCTAAGGCCTGAGCTTTTCTGGCATGGACAAGATTCACCATGTCCATGGGCAGATGGTACTGAGACCACACTTCTTGGGATCCCTTCTTATACTCCTGTTCACTCTGTAATTTGGCAGCGTGCAAGCAATGCAGCAACCTGGTGTCATCCAGCACACTTTTGGCACCAATGTGCTTTCCTCTCTCCATCACAAAGTTGTGTTTATACTGGTACTAAAAATAAAAAAGTGTAAAAGTGAATAAGTGCCAAACTTACACTGGCTACTCTAGCTAATTAACTTAGGATAAGTCACTGAAACATCTATGCTGTCTGTAAAACAACCCACATATACAGCACTAGAAAGTAATTGTCTGAATCACTCATTGCTCTCAAATTTAAATACCACAGTAGTTGCAAAATTTAAGTTAAGCGCATCTCAATATATTCTCTGACTACGCCCAAAGCATTGATCATGTTTAACCTCAGATCATGTACTTTTATTATCTCTCATAGAATTTTATTCACATCACTAGGAATGAGAACATAAGAGAACCAAACAAAAGACAGAAGAAAAAAATCTATACAAAAGAGAAACATCATGCACTCTGTAGCCTTCAGATTTGCAAATGCCACCCAGCTATTTTAAAGAGTAAATTCAGTTTTCCTGGATCAATAACTATGTTGAGAAGCCTAAGATGGTGGTCTGAGCGCAAGAATAAGCACCAGCAACCCCTCATTCTCATCTTAGCTGGGACTATGACTCTCCCTATGATCTTGCATTTATCCTCTCTGTGAAATAGTGATGATGATGATAATGATTATTTATACAGCATCAACAGGGTGCTTGGAACTTTAAAGGGAAGGCCTGGGCCCTGAAGAGTTCATAATGTAGTTGAAATGGGATAATAACACTTATCTACCACACAAGAGAGTTGTGGGGATTAAATTACAGTAGCTAATGTTTATAAAGTGCTTCCAAGATGAAGGGCCAAATTCAGATCTGTTGTAAGTGGATGTAATTCTATTATGGACTTGTACCCTTTAGAGCAGATCTGAAGCTGTAACCAAAAGCACTCTGCAAAATATGGTTAAGTGTACATTATAAATGACAGCTAGAAATAGTTGCTTCATAAAACAAATACACATGAAATATATTCATATTTTATCACATTAGAGACAAAATATGCAACTACATACTACACAAAATGAAGACTTTTTTTACTAAATTTAGTTTAATTGACAGTTTTTCTTATAATTTATTAAATTTCTTGTGAGGAAGGGATGAACTTAGGTTTTCTGAGAAATGGATACCACCATGTTTGAGTGTTTTGCAAACAACTATCCAAATGAGAGGGCATTTTTAAGGGCAAGAAAATTAGTTTCCTCTATTTCAGAAATTAAAGGGACACATAGTTACAGGACCATCCACTAATTTTCACTTCCTAACCAGACAGGCAGCTCCTGATTTTCAGAGATTCAGCTTCTTCTGACTTCATTTCAATTCAGGAGCACTAAGCACTTCCAAAAGTCAGCTCAAAGCAGGGTGGACAGAATTAGTAGGCACTTCATTATATGAGGAGCTGAAAGCCTGGGAAGGAGCGGAATCCCTTGGATTTGTCTGTCTGCAAATACTTTAATTCACTAGCTATTTCCCACTGGAAGATGTTTAACCGAGCTTGGTTCCCGATTAGCACTGATTCCTCCTCTTCTTTTTTTTTTTTAATTCACACAAAGAATCTCATTCATAAGTAATATATTCTGTCTCACACTTGTCTCACATGGTTATGGAGTTGCTTTAATTCAGTAAAATCTGCTTTAGACATTGTTTTACATGAAGTTAACAGAAATTAGGCAAGAAGGAAGGTTGAATCATTCAACTCACATCACTGGCAATTTCTCTGGAGGCCCTGGCAGTCTGGAACGGGAGTGCTTCCGTTGTCAGCTTGTAGCCTTGAGCACGTAGATTATGCCAAGATTCCCTGTATTTTGCCTAAAGTAGGAAAGGCACATGTAGATTGCTGTTTCACTTTTAAATGCACAAGGGAACAAACAAAGGAACACTCTTTTCATTTGTTATTCTGTGTTGCAGTCTCATTCTTCATAATCAAAGGATTTTTTTTTAAATTATCTTTGGGAAATCCTACTAACTCAGACAAAACATGTCTCGTTCTTTATGTAGATTTAATTTACTCACAAACATATACATGCTAATGGAGATAAATATCATTATAATCAAATCAGGGAAAGCATAAATAGAATAGATCTAAAAAGTCCTTTACTTATCCATCTTCCCTGCCACTGCACAATTCGTCTTCCATCCCAAATAAGTATAAGAAATACAGAATAAATTCTTACATCGCTGAGGTTGGCTGCATTTATTCTTGCCCGTGTAAACTCAGGCAGACCCAGTGTTGGTGTATAGTGATGCTGACTGTCCTCTCCTGCTGCTCTATACATGCGCTAGGAAAGAGACCGAAAAAGACAATTGCAATTAATTTTCTCTATTGCTTCAGTAACATAACAGCAGTACTTAAACTGTTAACGATTATGACAACCATAGTCAGCCAGCACAAAAACCAGCTAAGAATATACCACTGCAATTGCAATTGCATGGGGTCTTTTTTTCTGGGCATAAAAAACCTTTTACATTGATTTTTATACATATAACATAATGCCAACCCACTACATTCTTAGACTTTCATTGGTATATTCCCAGCAGGCCAAAAGAGGACCTATAAACATTAAGGGCACCATGAATGTGTGTTAAATAAAAGGGCAGGGATTTCTGGTAAACAGGCCAATTTTCCCTAGCTTGGATTTTTCCTCATGTTATTACAGATGATTTTGATAATTTGCCTATGGGTTTTGTCTTGTTTTTCAAAAATTAGAAAAGTGATTCTTCTTATCAGAGCCCTCTAAAGTGGACCATACTATGTAAATGAGCTCCCTCAAGAACCCCCAGCAGAACTGATCTTATGAGGCTTTATTTCATGTGAAAAAACCCTGATAATGGGACTCTAATGCATGGATAACATTTAAGCTTTTTGAAAGAGAATGGGTTGAATTGAAAATGGTATTAAATGTTTGGAAACAATAAAATGTGATCTAACTGTGAAAAAGCACAAATCAGTGATGTTTGCTTTCTTTTTGATGCATTTTGCTTTCAGAACAGGGTTTTCTCTTTCCCACTACTCCATCACTAGCTCGCTGCATTTTGAAAAGCATATTTTGTGATTCACGTTAGGAGAGCCTACCTCATTAGCAATCATATTGCTGAATTTTGCATGAAGGAGGCCAGGAGAGTCTGTCACCGATGTGTACTTGAAGGAATGTGGCTGCTGACGATATTTACTCTGAGTTCACACACAAAGAAAAATGAACAGAATAACTAAATTGTCTTGTCAGATAAGGGACTTTTTCCAATACCCGTGGTCTAGTGTTGCTTCCTGTGCTTAAAACTCTACTTTGAAAAGGGTATGTGTCTATTAACCATTAGACTAATTTACCTTTTGCTACTCTGAATTTGATGCATTCAAGTCTCACAGAGGAAATGAAAAGTAAATAAGGAATAAGGTGTAAAAAAAAAAAAAACCCACAACTAGGAAGAGCAGTCATGTTTTTCTTAATTTCACATCTGTGTGAATATGGGCAATAGATCCAAGATTCGAAACTAGGGGAGGCTGCAAGAAGAGAACACGCCAGAGGAAATAAAAATCGAGCTACAGAGAGGAAAAAATAACAGCATAGCAAAGCAGCAAGTGAAAAACAGACTAAGACTGTAAAGCAGGAGCAGAGCTGAGGACAGTGTAATATACAGGGCGCTCTGCAGGTCAGTCTAATTTTGGAGAAACAGGAAAGCTACTTAACAGAGATAGGCACAGCCTTATTTTTAGTTGAAAAAGCCCATTTTAAATCTAACATAAATAACATAAAATAACAAACTCCTGGGTCTGAAACACGGGAGAAAACATTGGCGAAAACTGTTAGCAAAGTCTGCAAAACCTTGAACTCCATCAGGTTCACCCATCTGCAGTTAGGACCCAAATGGAATGATCAAACGCAAGGGGAGGGAGCCTAGCATTATCCAGTGAGTCACTTTGCCAGCCCAGTTTAATAGAAAGACATCTGGCAAACTCTTGTTTGTAGTGGAGAAATCAAAACCCTCTTTTGTTACCTCGCTGATGAGTTCAGAAGCTTTCTTCTTTCCTTCAATCTCTAGGGCCCCTGGAGTAATACATCCAACTCCTCGCATAAAGTTCATGTCAGAACGGTATAAATGCTAAGGAAAACCAAGCAGAAGTAATTACAAATTTGCCTTTGAGATGCCCTACATTTATTCATCCAAAAATACACAATAATGGTATTCAAATATATCCATTAAAATTAGTATTTACCACAGACAGTTCATATACATTACCTTATGTTCTTGTCTTTATGCATGTGTCTGTGTGCATACAGCACTGACAGATCTACAGTACAGATGCAAGATTCTGAGTACTAAGTCCCATGAACACTGAATGATACTTGAGCTCCTAACTTCCATTCATAACCTTGAAAAAACTTCCTAGGCACAGGAATTTTCTTCATATATAATACATAAATCACAGTTACATATTATTTATTTATAAATATATATAAAATAAGACCAGTTTAGAAAAGTGTATGGAAATATTTTTAAATAAAAGCTGCTAACTTTTTAATAAGTGGAATTGCAGACAAAATAGCCTTGCTTTTAAACAGTTCTGAATGGTTATAATATAAGTAGGGAACACTAAGGAAAAATAGCATTAAGCCGCTGTACAGGCTTTGTTAAAATATTTTCCAGACCACCAAACCCAGCAGTTACTCATTGTAAAGATTACTTTTTCAAAAGTTACCAGTTATTAGTAGATACATTATGACAAATATTATTTCATTTGATGATGAGAAGAGTGAGGAGGAGGAGAAGGGTCATCATATTTTCTGCTATAAAGACCAAACAATTAGTAAAGTACAGATTTGCCTACTTGATGGATATGTGGAAACTGCTACTGCTTACTGAGGGAAGAACTAGCTTTAGTTAATGAGGCATTTTGGTTCAGCCAACCACTTATAATGGAAACGGAGCAGAACCAGCTCCTCTTCTGTCTATGTCTGTCCAGTGCTAGCCTGTAGACTCAAAGGCATCACAGTGTTGTGCACAGGAAATAACCTTCGTGAGTCAGAAGATAAGAAAGGACAATGCTAGAGCTTGGTCCTCACCCTAGGACCATCTGGTAAGAGAGTTAAATTCTGCACTCTGAGACATGTTGCTGGCAACCAGCATTTTACTCCCAATTCAGAAGAGAGTCAGGGATGGAAACCTGCCTCAGCATCTGTGACTGCAAGTGTTTCCACCCAAGTTAGGGCAGCACAACTGGCATCTGATGTTTACACTTGTTTGAACACAGTCTGCCACCTTTAAGACCGTTGGCTGAAAGTGTTAAACTGCTATACAGAAGTAATTGGGGGACAGACTTGTTTTTAAGATACATCCCCTCCTGAGGTCTCCAGAGGCAACGTAATCTATTAAAAGCCCTTTGCTCAGGGCTGTGCCTACAGACACAGCCTAACCTTAAATTTGTAAGAAATTATCCAGTTAATTTTATTCAAGATTACATAGGGAGTTAAACTCATCCTTCTCAGAATTTCAATGGTTATGTCTTAGGCCAGAGTTTAGAAGTCTGTTACAAATCAGATTTTTAATAGTAGGCATCTTTCTTGTGGAAGTACATACGAATTTCAGCCAGATGCAAGCCAACTCAAATACCAGTTGGTAAACAGCTTGCATGGTTAGCAATACCTTAAAAAGAGTATTTCACCAACACTGCAATCATCCCCACTTGCAAACATTTCTCTGCCCAGTCATCAAAGACTACTGTATAGCTTATCTCTCGGTATGGTGTGATCACACGTGTTGTACCACTGCCCAGTAAGATAACTGTCTCATTTCTGAATGTAATCAAGGGGGAATAGCCCTTGTTTATCCCTCAGCTGCTGCTCAAATACATACCATCAGCTGTCATGAATTGGAACAGAACTATCCTGCAAGATTTGCAATTACCTCACTCTGTAGTTTGTATGCATTCTTGGCACACCGCAATCTCACATCATCAGTCAAAGAAGTGTACTGGTGTAGCAGCTGTCTGTATTCTTGCTCACTGACCAAAGACTGGGCTTTCCTGGCATGTACCAAGTTTATCATATCCAGTGGCAGGTGGAAGTGAGCCTTTGTATCTTCAAAACCTTGCTTATATTTAACCTATCAAATTAAAAACAGATCACGTAGATTTCACAAATGGTAATAAGAATTCAGGTTTTGATCAGAAGAGACATTCTCCATATTTCTTCTAATTCCCAGTATAAATTATTCTTTTTAAAAGTAAGTTCCCTAATTTATTTAATTATACTGTGAATGATAAACACTTATAATTAGAATATGTGGCATCCTATCCTTCATCAAAATAGTAGCCATCTACATTATATTAAATTAAGCTGAGATATTACTTATACTTTTTTTTTTGTGAAAACTGGATACATTGAATCTATAACATTACCAAACTGATAAATGGATTCTTAATTCACTGCATTTCTAGAAATCACATCAAAAAGGTAAAGCTATTGCCTGAGGATAAAATGCAAACAGTTATATCTATATTAAAATTAGTACAAAACCTCACTCAAAATATTTATTGGTCTCTGTTGATTTGGCCAGTTTCATTTCATAGTTTTAAATGTTATTTTTAGTGTTGGATTTTTTTTCAATTCTTGTTTCTGTCCAGGAAAAGAAAGCCATAAAAATCTTCAAAAATTTTTTTTCACATGACATTCCCCTATCAGATTACGCAAATTTGAGATGTTCAGGCTGTTCATCCAGACAATGAACATCCAGAGTTATTGATGATCATCAAACTGATTTAGAGTAACCTGACAGAGGGATGAATTCTTCAGACACTTATTGTTACCTGTATGTCTGAGCATACCATCACACAAGAAAGATTCCTAGTACAAGCCCAGCATTCACTGAAATCCATGAACACTGTCCCACCTATATCCACAATCAGGCTTGCTATGGATAGTTTTGGTAAAAAGATAAATAGCTCTTATATTATTTATGTGCTTAAAGTCAGACAAACATTTCACTGTTTTCTGGATCAAGCCACAGTGTTCAAAATGCACTGAACAATTACAATTCATAGACAATGAACAAATGATTCTTAGCATATCCCAAGACCAAGTGGAAGCCATTCCCAAACCAAAAAAGTCCAACCAGCCACAGTGTTCAAAATGCACTGAACAATTACAGTTCTTATAGACAATGAACAAATGATTCATAGCATATCCCAAGACCAAGTGGGAACCATTCCCAAACCAAAAAAGTCCAACTTGAAATTCCATAAACTCATTCACCCTTTAGTCTTTCAGGAAAACAGTACACTGAAAACAATCATTGAAAACTTTGTATCTCTACCAAAATTAATTTACTTCTGTACAAAGACCACTACTAATTCTCAATTAGACCTCACCTCTGAGTGATACTTTTAGAAAGTAAAATATTCTATGCTAGGCAACAGTGGTATGCAGCAGGGGATTGTGCAAGAATGCACAGTATTCTTTTATTGTCAAATTAATGTTACTGTAAATAATGTAAAAGAATGGTAAGAATATCATGATTATATCGAAATATCTGAAAAGTGGGAGAGAAAGCCCTACGTTTTAAATAGTAAGCTATTCCACAGCTAATTCACAGCTAAGTGCATCTTCCACGAGGATCTACCCGCTGTTAGGAAACCAATTCCAAAATGCCCACATCTTCTTTCTTGTACTTACATCACTCTGTAGTGATGCTGCATGGACTGAATGAGCAATATGAATATCGCCATCCAGGCCACGTGAGCCAACCATCTGTCCTTTCATTTTCTGAAATGCCTCCTTATACCTGTGCTAAAAAGGAAATAAGAATAGAAATGTCAGTAGAAGAGAACATGAGTATTAGTCGGGTTGTTAAAACCTGAATAAAAGGGTTTTCATAATGCAGAAAGAGAGCTATGGACAATAAATTCTGGCTATACTTAATATGATATGAATGAACTTTTAATGAATGCTAGGAAGACCTCACCTGTACAAACATTTTCAGATTTTATCCTATTTAGAGAAAAAATACACCAATGAACACTTACAAATAGCTTGGGTTAGTTATCTGCTGTTACACAGGTGGTGGAAGACAAGAACTTGGTGCAGGTGCTCAGAATCAGCCTCTAGGAGCCTCTCTCCATTAGCTCTCTAGCAAAGTCCAAACACCTAGTCTCCTATGCTTGTAAGTATCTCTACAATCTGTAAAGGACACCCAAGACAAACCCTGAAGGGTAAAACCTCCTTAAACAAGCTCTCTCTTCCAAAGCTTGCCTAGCTAACAGTGGCTGACAGCTCCTGAACAATCCCTATGATTGCCCAGTCACTACAGCAGTTAAGTTGGTCAACTTTGCTAATGGCTGTTTGCTTTTGCAAACCTTCCTTTGCTTAGTTACCAATAACACTTCCTTGTGTCTGCACCTCGAGAACCAAAACTAACTAGACTGACGCCAGATGTCTCCCAGATGTAGAGTTGGCTGGACATGTTGTTTCCATCAGAAGTCAGTCAACAGAGCAGAAACAGTCTGGAGTGACTGACATAACCTACTGGATAATATCAGCAGCAAGTTCACATACATCACTTATGATTTCACCCGAAGCTTTTGCTGCCTGGAAGGGAATGGCATCTAGTTTCAGCTGATAGCCACCATCTTTCATCTTTCTCCAGGACTCCTTATAGCGAATCTAGGAAATACGGAACACGAATAAAGCAGAGTTGCTGTTCAGAGGGTTGACACTGTAGCATTATTGCTATCCTAGCAATGTTACCACATTAGTTTAATTCTATTCTAACACAAAGGCCTAACATAAATGAAATACACAACAGAAATAATCTCATGACAAACACCCATTATAAAAATGCATTTGTTCATTCCTAATCTTTCTAACTTAGGAGAAGTTTGATATGAAGTTTGATTTACCAATACTACTTCAGAAACATTTAGACCAAAGAATGATCATATACAGGGGAACGGAAAGAAATTTAGCTTGTTTTCCTGTGTAGGACAAACAGCAAAGCACTATCAACTTTTTAACTTTCCTTTAAAATATTGTAAGTCAGATTCATACCTCACTGATATTCATAGCATTTAATTTGGCCTGAAGGATTTCGGGAAGATCTGTTGTTGGCGTATACTGATGCTTTACACTCTCTCCATGCTCCTTGTACAGCCTCTGCAAATACAAGTGAATTTCAGTAGCAAGTACTCAAAACACATTCAGTCACTAGTTCAGACAAAAACATGAATAAGTAGGTTTATGGAAAGGAAAAACTACAGAAAAATGACAGTGGCATTAATAAATATAGGCAATTGTATCAGTCAAAAAGTACTCAAAAAGCTTTAGGAGTCTGGTACACCTATCATCTAGAGTTTACTAGAGAGGAACTCCTTGAATTTTTGAGTGTATAATATATCAATGTATATGAAAATTCAGTTATTTGAATATTCATTCGATAAGACTTCCAACGTATGTGAATAGAGAGAGGGAGAATTAACAGCATTTATTAAGGATGTGCAACCACGAGTGGCCCAACAACACCTTGAAATTCCACAGAAATCTGGGGAGTTGAAGTTCCCCAAACATATCTTTCCAAAGTTGTTCATTTTTAGCAGATAAATATGATGGCAATTATCCATGCAATTACTCCAAATTTATTTCCAGAGCTAGTTTCAAGGAGGTACTCAACAGTCAATGGCAAGAGATTAAAAAAAAGCTCAGAAGGTGACTGATCCCATTGTAAAACAGGTGTCTATGTGGGCTACTCATATCAATCCTTGGAGGAAGAATATAGGGTTGGCCAAGGACTAGCTGACTTTAGGATGTCTGCAGACAGATAAGAGGAGTTCTATGCCGTTAACTGCAAATTCCCCTACAACGGCTATGCAGAGTTCACCTCTTTCACGTTATTTTTCTCTGCTAGTTTAGTTTCTTCTTACATTGACACCATAATTTTCAGATGAGTGCAGACAGCCACCATTTTTTTTTGGCCTTAGATATGACCCATGTCTTGACCACCCAACTTGCCTTTCCCAGGCTATTATTTCCATGTAAGGGTTTGAGATCCTCTAGATTAGAATGAACCTCTCCATTTCACCCTGCTGCCACTTTCTTCAGCAAATAGGCCCACTTGCATTGCACCTCCATAAGAGGAAAATTAATGAAAACTCCATGTGTGAAGAAGTAGAGCAGCAGACTGATTTTGACTGTGGCTCAGTGGAACAAAATGACTTATATTTATCCTGCCTGAGATGTAAGCCTTTTGGATCTTATTAATTAAACCAAAGGCATAGACACCATAAGTATTACAATAGCATGTGTTTTACACAAAGTCTTTCATCTTCTTCTTCACTTTAAAAATATCTATTTTCACAATAAAACATCCTCTCATGTTTGAAACTTGTCTTTTTTGAGTGACTTTTGCTTATTACTCACTTCTGTATTATCCCAGTTAAGTCTACAATATTTTTAAATCGCTCTTCTATTAAAAATAAACATGTTTAAACACCAAACAGCCTCAATTCTTCCCTTTAAGGTTTCCGCTCCTGGATTTCTCTCTCAGCAGGATGACAGCTTGAAATAATTTATTTTTTCTTCCTTGTCATGCTGCCTTACATTTTGTTTCCAAAGAATATGCAGAAACTGAAATTTGAAATATCTGTTTGAAAAGGGGAAAGAAACCCAAACGTGTTCTTCCTCAATAAATCTCAAAAGGCCAAAAGTCTCTAAAGGCCAAATGTCACTCCTAAATTTTACTTCTGAAAAAAAAATTGGACAGAAAGCCTTTTTACATGAAACTCCCATTCACTTCAGTGGGATCTCCATGACTTCTCATTCCAAGTTAGAAACACGCTCTTTGTGAGATGCACCACACCAGAACACAGAAGTTTCATGGTTCCCAAGGATAATGTCAGAGAAAGAAAGAGAGAGAAAGCCAGTGCTTCAATCAGGTCGTTCAAAGAGGATACCACTCTTATAATCATAATGTATATACATTATAACTTACATCCACAGCCTGGTTATAACTAATTCTAGCCTGGATCATCTCAGGAGTGTCTTTAATACTGGTAAACTTCAAAGCATATGGATGCTGACGGTACTTCTTCTGTTGAGCAGAAAAAGATCAAAGCTGTGAATTTTGTGCTGCTCTTTCATGCTATTTGAAAGAGAAAAATCATAGGTTGCTGGAGATTAGAGTGAATTTGTGAACATAATTATTATTCCTCTTTCCTCATCTTTATGTCCTAGGTACTTTCAGATTAATATTTGTTTCAATTTAACAATAACCTTTTGCCGATTAATATTAAAGTATTTCTCCCTAAAAATAAGGAAAACATTTCAAAATCAGATTCTGCCTACCTAAATACTCCAGAACTCACGATTTTTAAAATATTTTTCAGATTACTTCAAATATGACTGATTGTATTTTTTATTTATAGCTTCTTTAAGCAAGAAATTATATACAATTGTAGTGTGTTAATAATGGCAATCGTTTAACTTATTGTTTCAGGGTTTAGGTTTTTTCCTACCACCTATAGCAAATCTGTGCAGCCATTAACACTGTGCCTAATTGTTACAATATATCTTCTAGATAATTATATTAATTCTGCTTGCTTGAAAGGACCCATAGTAGTTTATGAGAGATCTTGTTATATATACGTAATTAAGATGAAGGCTGTTTGATGGCAAATTGACTTTTTCCATATGGCCAGGTCACTAAAAGCTTCCCTTGCTGCATGAGTTGTCCTATACCCATCAATATTCTTGTCCCTTCTCCCAGTAGTGCATACTAAATTTTCCTGATGCCTGTGATGAACTCCAAAGTCATTAAGCATGTTTGTAGTTTTTCTGGAAATTGTTTGTATCTCAGTGTTCAAGTCTAAAGGCATGTCATTCTCTTTTAAATTTGAGCTGTGATCCACAGAATTTTATTTGAGGCAACATCTTGATTCTTTGGGGACTCAAAAAGCTGATGTAAAACACACTAACTCTTTTAAAGTATTACAAGCTTATGAGCAATGTTTTGGTTTCAGAAAGAAATCCCTTAAAAATGAGCAACCTTACTAAGTTTAACTAGGGACAAAAGTGGTTTGCACTTTGTCCCGATCAGCTGTAGAGACAAATAAGAGTTGACCAGAACATCTCTACATAAAATTCCTAGAAGTGATATTCTGGCAATTGTTTTTTAGCAGTATTACATGGGCTAGTCACTGTGTGTATGTAAGAAGGAAGGATGCTTATAGCCATCTAAAATTATTTAGTACTCACAAAAAGGTTGAGATGAACAACCTAGCAGGTCAAATTTCTACTTGGCAGTGTTCACTACGATAACATCAAAATGGTCTACCTATACAGATTCACAATTACCATTCCAGCCGGCATTGCTATACCAGCTTTTGTGAAGCTACCTTGCCTTATGCTAGCTGAGGATCTAGTTTATTGTGTCTAAAAAAATCATCCTTCTTAATTGTAGATGATTACATGTGAAAAGAACAGTATTAGCAATCAGGCAGACATGAAAGGATGACCATATTTTTCTGAGACACTACACCAGTGGTTATGCTGATATTCTCATTGAGAGAATGGACAGATGATTCCTGCATCAGCACTGCTTATCTAAAAAAATCACAGGATTCAGTCTCCTACTGCAGCAGACTTGGACAGTAGGACTCCTTCTGAAATAACAGAAACAGAATACTATGAACCTTTTAACCATTTCTACTACAACCTCCTTTGACGGCCTCATAGGACTGGCATAAAGGACTACAGGACCTTTTCCTGTAAGTGAAACTGGTTATAGGGAGAACTAAGGATGAAAACTACTTGGGCTGATAGATAGCCACAAACAGACATATCTATGTGAATTTCAATAGCTAATGTGACTACATATGAAAAAGGAGCAAGAAGGAATGCGTATCTGTTACAAAAGAAAGTTCTGGGTCCAGTGACTGCATCTTTTCATCATCTCTCCTGTTTTGCTTCATTAAAAAGGTAGGCTAGTGGGTAGCAATTGAGCACTGTTTGATTGCCATTATTATTCATAATATCATTTGTCACCTACTTTGTTTTTGCAAAGGCTATATGGACTCCTACTGGTGTGTGTTTGGTATCTGGTTTCCCTCTAATTGCCAGTCCTATCCCTGATTTTGAGGGCTTTCATGTGGTATGCCTTTTTCTTTCCCCTTTGAGTGGAAATTATTTTAATTTTATACAGACATTTTGCACGCATTATGCAGCAAATTCTGTTACATGCTGTCATGAAATCTCACCTCACTAATGAGTTCTCCTGCCTTCTTAGCCTGCTCCACATTTAATGACCCAGTGGCTATCCATCCAGCTCCTTTCATCCAGTTCAAATCTGCTCTGTATCGGTTCTGACAAAGAAAAAAAAAGTCCTATTGTTGGTGTTCATACACTTAAAATGCCACTAAAGGATTCAGACATCTCAGGAACAACAACCAAGTCAAATTAGTGCCTGCTTTTGTTTTATTCACTATTGCACAGTTGCAAGGAAAGCAAAAAAATTATGGAATGAAATAGAAGTATCAGGACTCACCAGAAGTTGTGCAATATGCTTTGCAAGGTAGGTTTTAGAAGTGGTCTACACTTTACTGTCCTTTCTATTTTTTACGCTAACATAGCAAAAACTTCAGTTTTATTGCACATAGCGCACTGTTTAAAATATCATTAGTGATTTGCAATGATAAGAAAATGATACTCAGCATTTCCCAACCCTTACCCTTTTGTTACACTGGAGGGAAAGCATTTTGTTTTGTTTTTTTCCATGTGTCTTTAAGGAGGAAGAGTACAGGAGTACTTCTCACTTTCCTCGCAAATCTCTCCTCCCAACAGTCTACTGAATTCCAAAAGCTTATACAAGCACCACTACAGGTGGGTTTCTCAAAGAAGCCAGAGGGGTTTCAGGACCTGTACCTCAAGAAGACCTTTACACGTATCTAAGTCTCCTTGAAAAGATCTGACTCAAAACCTCAGAATGGAAAGTCTGATTTATAATAACCATTTACAGCACCAGACAGTTCATCTGATGGTTTCAGCTGAGCATGTGGTCTCCATATCAAATCCTATCACCAATTTTTTCATCATAAATTATGTAACCTCCCTGCACATTAGGTAAAAAGAATAAATGTACATCGTACATGAATCCTAGGGTTTTATTAACATTTGAAGTAGACATTGAAGAAGCCATGCTCATAAACAGGATTATAAAACTCCTCAAATATATCTCTTGAGCAAATAAGTGGTTAATGCTTACTGTTTTAATATTAGCTGTTTAACAGTTGAAAAACTAGGTGCATAAATATGTCATGGCATTAAAAGCATAAACATCTGAAGAAACTCAGCTCTAAGTGTATGAGGGGCTTGAATGAAAGGATATTGCAATACATTAAGCTCTGGACTTACATCACTTTGCAATCCATAGGCCCACTTGGCCCATGCCACTTTCCTGTCAGTAGGCAGGGCTGTGTAGTGATGGAGAGCTGTCTTGTATCCTTTATCTGTGGCCAAATTCTGAGCCTTTTTGGCATGGACAAGGTTAATCATATCCATGGAGACCTGGAACTGATTCTTTGTGTCCTCAAATGCCTTCCTGTATTCCAGATCACTCTGCAACTTTGACATTTGAAGGGAATGAGCCATCTGCAAATCTTCCTCCACAGCCTTTACTCCAATCAGCTTACCCTTCATCTTCTCATAACCTTCCTTATATTTAATCTGTGGATAAAAAAAACAGACCATGAGTAAATGACCTCAGCTGCCAAACTGACAGCTCTGCTAGTAGCAAAGCAATGGTCTATTGGTGCTGTGATGCTCGGTCCTTGATACATAAACCCTTTCTCAATAATAATATGTTCACAAAAAGCTGTAAGAAATTTTTCCTTTTTGGTTCTCTCTAGAAAACAACATTCTTTAAACACTAAGGTCAGAAGGTTCTTTCAGGACTTTTCTGGCCAGGCGTAGATGTATTAAGTTACAATATTTCACAGGAGATTTTCACTTCATTTTGAGTTCTAAAATTCACCCTCAGGACAAAATGAGAATAGGAAAACACAGTCAGCATGTGGGGAAAAACTCTGAATTGCTCAGAGCAAACCTTCTGACTAATTATGGAATGCCAATCACCCAGACAACTCCTCCATTGCTCCTTAGCACGAATCGAGTGAGGGTGGCTCAGGGCACCAAGACATATGTGACACATCCCCAGCACTCTGGTAGCAACCTGGACTGTCAGCTGTCCTAAGAATAAAGAAGGCTGATGGAGTCCATACTCACATCACTTGCCAGATCCCTCTTTGCCGTAGCTGTCAAGAATGACAAAGCATCCAGACGAAGCACAAATCCTTTTTCCTTCTGCTTCTCCCAGCTACTCTTGTACAGTTTCTAAAAAGGTGACAATAACACAGTCTCTTTATTACTATCAATATATTCTATTTGTTTTATAGTCACAGTGAAAGCTCTCAAGTAACATCAGACCAGAGTACACTCCATGCCCAGCAACCGTATGTCTAAGTCCCGGTGTTTTCGCTTGCATACTGTAACTGTGGATACTGTAACCCCATTATCTCACTGGTTCCAGTGAAACTGTCAAAGTGCCACACATCTGCAAGCATGTGGAAAATACATGGCTTCAAACACAAAAAGTGACTAGTCTCCAGAAGAGCAGATGTGACTAGTATTTAATTAAGAGCAAGTAATTAAATTTAGATATAAAGTTTTTACATCTAAAATATTTGGACCTTCTCAGAGAAAGAACCTAACCTTTACCTACAGAACAAACATTTCAACAGGAGCTCTAACTATTCACAGGAGTGAGGAAATCCAAACCTCTGTCTCACACAGTACCTCACTGATATTGGCAGCATTTGCTTTGGCCAGCAGGAAGACAGGATCATCTTTGCTGATGGTGTACTGATGAAGAAACTGCTCTTTTCCTGACCTGTAGGCAACCTGTCCACAGAAAGCAAAGCGTGGTTAACAAGTAGTAGTCCATGTTTAATGTTGAAGCAATACTGGTTAAAACACCCCAAATATTCAAGGATTTGTTAGGGTTAATTTATTTGGTGAGTTAGTCTTTAGCATCATGACTTTTTTTCCCAATCTGAATTGAAAAGCTGACCCACAAAGTCAGGTTGACCAACTTCTCATGGTCTAATTTCAGGGAAGCAGTGAAACAACATATATATCAGGGTACTTTAATTCTCTTTCCTAAAGTTAGCCACTTAACTGGCCAACATTAACTCGTATTCAGTACAAAATGTATGCAAGAATGTATTCCATTCAATATTAAACTACAGCTACTTTTTAGGTGGAATGAAAGCCTTTAATAGGACACAGAAATAGTGAATTTTAGGCACAAAATGAAGAAAACTAAGCAAATGAATCCACAGAGAAAATTTGTCACCTAAATGTATTGCTGACACAGTACTCCAGTGAGGACTAGCCTTCCAACTTCAAATGAAAATATCAAGGACCTTTTATGATCCAAGTAGCAAATATCTCCGTTTTATATCCCAGGGCAATGTCAACATAGAAGTTAACTGCTCTGTTTCAGAAGCCCATAAAGCTGTTGGAGGAGCTGTTGAAAAGCTATGAAAAGATGTCCCATTTCATGAAGTGTTACATTTCTTACATCTCACAGAAGAAGAAAAAAAAATGTCCCTACTATAAAGCTCTAAATCCACAGTTACTATTCTGACTTCAAGACAGGTACACTAAGGCAGCATTGTCCAGTACATAGGAAATAAGTAATGAGAGTCAGGAGACCAGCATTCTCCTCTGATTCAATCTGGTGACATCTTTGAGCCACCCAACACTCATCCAAGCAAGTACCAGTTTTTTCTTGATGCAGAGGAGCAAAAAAAGGGAAACATGGTAGCTGCCTGAAAAAGACCAAGCAAGAAGCAATAATGCTTCCTTCATTCACGTAACAACAGAGAAGCTGACAGTATCTTCCGTTCAAGGCATGACATATTAAATGTAATAAAAAAAAAAGCTTGGCAAGTCACTACTGTTCCAAAATGAGTTGGTTAGCAATTCTAACAACAGGTTTCCCTTCTTTTGGAAACTTATAAGTGAGTTGCTGTCAGCTAAGTCCTGCCAAGGAGTTCTGAAATACCATCTGCCAGGGTTGCCAGCCCCAAGGAAGAATAGGGAGCATTCTGAAGGCACCTAGTTTGGGAAAATATGCCTATTTTATCATTTTGCTAAAAGTACCTTAACAGCAACATCTGAAGAACATGTGGTCTAACAAGGCTAATATAGCTTCAAGTAGTCTGCCAGGGCCCTCACTGGAGAGAAACACAGAAGCTGGGATGGATGTGTATTAGTCTCTGTGCTAATGTCTACCTTGCTTTGAAGAACTGCCAGAGGATTGGCTGGGAGTACTGTGGTTTCCCTCCAGCTTGCTTCCTCACTTTTACCACCTCAAGGACAGCCAATTTTCGTGCAGATGACATTAATCTCTTAGGAATACTCAGGTATCCTCTTATCAATGCATTTCAGCCATACTTGAATCCAGCCTGCACCACCCACAGGTATGTTGCCAGAACTGTCTTGCAGAGATATCCCCCACCTCTGGCCTTTGACATCATTTATCAGAAGCCTCACTTGCCTATTTCCTTTCCCACTGGGGTCTGCTTTTTTGTTGTTGTTCTAGTTCAGAGAATTCAATGAGAGAATTCATCAAACAAACAAACCCCCTTAGAAATAAATCTCAAGAAATTTCATATATGGAAACATTTCATGACTGGGTCCTCTTCCACCACCACCACCCCCTCCCACTGTACATATCTCAGGAACGACCACAATATGAGTAAACTACTTGCAAAGAGACAAATTCAGTCAAGGACTCACATCACTCTGCAGTTCCTGGCTTTTCTTGGCATGTTTGATCTGAGAACTGTCAGCCACACTGGTGAACTTCAGAGCATCAGCCTTCTGTCTGTACTTTTTCTAGATCAAATTAAAGCAGGTTACACAAAAGTTGCTACAATATTTACCTTCTCCAAAAATGTAGTGCATTCAAAAAGTACACAACTGACTGAGCCAGAAGTCCCCTGTAAATTCCCAAGACAATTTTAGCACAAGTGTCAGAAAAATAAGCTTCCAAATACTACCCAGTGCCAGTACTTTCTGCTAGGAGTACCCCAGTGGCGAGGAGGGTAGTGCAAGAGCATGCCAAATGCATTGCTGCTGACACAGCAAGCAGAGATACTCTTTGGTGCCAAATGTACTAGCTACATACCTCACAAGATCTAGGTTGCACACCAACCAATGAGTGTCCTTCACAAACTGGGTATGACTTAAGTCAGGGCCCAGGAAAGTTCATAGCTACACAGTAAATATTACTATCTCATTTTCTTACATGAGGCTTCCTAAGTATATGCACATGTTGTTCAAATCACTGAACGTGTGTTACTGAGATATTTTTCAATTATTAAGATATTTCTAAATTATCAATTAAATTAGAATAGGAATTCTGGTGTCCTGAAGGCAACTTTAATTCAAAATCTTCCCTATCAGCCCAACTTCTCCCAGATTTTTTTCAAAGCAGAGCTCAGCATAGACACTGCAGTCAAGGCTTCCTGGGAGCAACAGCTATGAGCGCCCTCTGCAAGGCTCAAGTCTTGGATGTGGGAAGAAACATCGTGCTCCATTCATCCTCTGGTACCAGCACTTATATAAAATCTATCTGAACAGACACATTTGCATAGAGAATAACATTTCTAGTTTGGTAAATAAGGCTTCCCTTACTTTTATTCTTACTCTTTACTTCACACCTGAAACACACCAAAGCGTATGGGAAACTTCCATTGACTTCATCAGGCTTTGGATCAGGCCTGTTTTAAATCAATATCACTGCCTGAGCCTTTTGCATCACTCATTGGAGAGCAAGCCAAGCATCTCTTTCTGTCTTTGAGACAGTACAAGGAAAAAAATGCAGCAACCTATTTCAAGACCACAGTATGATAGAGGAGACCAGGCAAACACTTCTTATATGCTTTAGTTGAATTCTTATTCTAACAGTTCAACCAGGAAGTGGGACATTCCACCTAGAAAAGGTGTAAATGCATTTTCTCATTATCTGGTATTTCAGGAGAGAAATCCTTCTGTTTGAACTGATGGGTGAGCAGATCGGTTTACACTGTGTCTCTGCTAGGGGAACACAAAACAGAAGTTACAAAAGCATGCAGCACTTCAAAGAGGTGCTCATCGCTTTATTTTAGGAACCTGGAAGGGAGGAAGGCAGATTAAAACTAGCATGTTTTGTCATATTGCACGGAACACAATATAGTGACATTCTGCAAAGAAATGACAAAATGCCAGGCTCTGTATGGCAATAGAGATCTCTAAAATAATATCCACCAGTCTCCAGTTTAAGTGACTGTCAGCCATCTCTTGGCCTTACCCAGCACTGGAATGAAAAGGCAGATCATTATGGATTAAATATTTGTGGAAGTGATTATTACTACAGCACACCACAGCAGCAGATGTCAGTCTATCCCTAGCAAGACACCAGATCTGAGAGTAGCTGCTCTTCTTTTGTTTCTAAGATGTATTCTTTCCCCTTGCAGGAGCAGTGAGAGGATGTCAGAGACCCAAGGTATCAGAGAGTGTGATCTCCAGTAACTAACTGGCTTCTGTTCCTTCCTCCAGCACTAAGTGGGATTTTATCCTTCTTGTCAAACTTCCCCTCATTTATTCTTCTATCTGTCCTCTAGTTTTCCTAGCACTAGTGAGACAACTCAACCATAGCTAAGCAGCTGAGGAAGTGTACTTCCATAAGGTTAATGGCAGTGTGAAACCATGAATTAATCAGTGAAAGCAATGAAAAGCAGCACAAGCTGAAGCTGCCAGTAAAGTCACAGCCCTTATTTGCCGAAGAGCAAGGAAATTTCCAAACATGGCTAGCAAATACCTAATTTTTCAACACTGTTCCTTAAAACTCTATGTACTTCAGGTTGCACGTACCACAGGAAATTCTAATTCCTTTCAATGCTGCTCTGCAAAATGGGCAGGTGAATGAAAAGAGGTGGAAGCACAATTATGAGGACTTCTGCCTCACAAACTTGACACAATGATCATATAATGGGAAAACATATTTTTAACCTGTAACCCAGGATCTCCTAAACTGTAGAATAACTAAACGGTGTCCATCAGTTCTTCCATTTCTCAGATTTTCTGTATTAGGAATTCCTTACATCTTCTGCATAATGTAGTGGAATAAGTGTGCATAAATCTTTGAATAAACAACAGACGGAAGCCTCAGCACTTTGCTTACCTCACTGACCAAATCTCCTGCCTTTTTGGCTTGTTGTATATTAAGACTTCCTTCTGTGATACACCCAGCTCCTTTCATCCACATCAGATCTGCCCTATATCGAAGCTGTAGAGGAAAATGACATGTATTGGCATGGGGAACACAGGTACAATGTTTGCATGTGGACATGTGCACCCCTTCCAGTTTCGAAGACATTGCAAAGACATTTTAAAGAGTCGTAGTGCAAATCAAACAGCGTCCATATTAAACGAGAATTAATGTCAAACTGAAAAAGTCTATAAACACTCATACTGCTTGGAACAGTCAAACTGAGTATACATCATCTTACATCACTCTGGAGACCATAAGCCTTCTTTGCCCATTTGGTCTTCATATCTTCTGGGACCACTGTGTATTCATGGAGTCTCTTTCTATAATCTAAGTCACTAGCAAGTGCCTGGGCCTTCTTAGCATGTCTCAGGTTTATCATATCCATAGGCAGATGGAAATGAGTCTTACTCTCCTCAAAATCTTTTTTGTAGGCAATCTAGAAATAGAAAGAATAAAAATAAGTTGTCTGTATCAGTGTATTGCAAAGCCAAAGCAATCTTAAATCTCCATTCTTGCTTGGGTCCTTGTGCAGATTAGGCAAAAAACACGTAGAAATCAGGTCCTATGAGAGAACCAGAAAACAGATGGCAGGATGCATTTTGCAGACTCTAGAGACATCTTCTCTATTACAGTAATTCTTACTTTTAAACATACCTTTATCTGCTTGAGAGTTTTACATAGAAGTGTTTATATTGGGGGTTTAATAGGATGTTATTTTCCTGCCCCAAAATAAGGACACTATCAACCCAAAATTCTCTAGGAGAACAAAAATACTGTGTAATCATTGCAGATTCACAGACAGAGGAAGGAAATCAATTTTTGTTAAACACTTCCAAGAATTTCTTATAGTGAAAGCAGTAACAGTGGTAGACCACATATTTTTGCTGAAAGATTTCTAATTATGAAAAACATCTTTTGAGTAGGAGAAATAAATAATTTACCTCACTACTCATCTTGGCCACCTGCAGAGAGTGCAAAAGTCTCGAATCTTTGGTTCCAATTGCTTTTCCTTTTGTTTTTTCATATTCTTCTTTATATTTAATCTGTGAAAAAAATAGTTTAAGTCAAAGAACATTTCCAGCTACCCAAGAGATAAGCAATATGTTTTTCACTGGTGATTTGGACGGTCAAAATTTACAAGGGCTTAGTCTGATTCTCACTTTGTCACTTCAGGTTTCCCAGATTTTCTCAGAAATGCCCAAAGGTGTAAGGTCGGTCTCATTTATATTGCTTTTAACCTCATTCTTTAAGGCTCACTCCTCTGAGGTGGATATACTTATAAACTTAAAGGTTTTGCTTAGCTGAATTATCTGATTCTTAAAGCAAAAGATAAAACATCAGCCATGTAAAAACCAAGTAAGGAATTCAAGATCTGATTTTCTTAATGAGGTGGGATTTTGGAATCACCGCTATTGCTGAACACTTCCTAGCTGCAGGAACAGTTTCTTCCTTTTCTGCCCCTCCACAGGTTAAGAATAATGAGATAAGTTGTTTAAAAAGAGTTTGTTTGGAAATTTTTTTATATATGTGTGTTTGTTAAAAAAGCAGACTAAAGAAACATGTGTTCCCTTTGTAGTGGATGATAACAGTATTTTTGAGGCTATAAACAATTCCAAACACTGAATTTTACTATGGGAGGACTGAGCCATTGCTATTTTGCAAATTTTGCTTCCTTCTGTACACTTGTATTTAAAAAATAATTTTCAGAGAGTGAAATTTCATAGCAGAGTCTGAGAAAGTTTCCAACTCTTCATCAGCCATTGAGAAAGACAGACAGCCAAATGCAGGACTTTAAAATCCAGATGAAGTGAGCTAAGCTTTATTCCCCTGTGCTATAGCAACTTACATAAAGAATAATTCCTAGGTAATTAAATATAACATACATCACTGGCAAGATCTCTTGAAGCTTTGGCAGCAAGTAAAGGCAGAGAATCAAGTTTCATTTCAAAGCCCCGGCCCTTACTCTTCTCCCAGCCTTCTTTGTACTTAATCTGAGAAAGGAAAGACAGCAACATGTCACTAACACATAAACACACAAGATCTTCAAACAAGCATGAAAATGACTAAGAGCAAAACAGAAGTATAAATATGCTCAGTCCACAAACCGGAACCTTCTTAACTCACAGTTCATTATCATTATGAGCTAATTAATTGGCCAGGATTGAGTCAAGATTTTTATTCTTGGAGTTTACAGGCACTTTAAATCCCAGAATATGCACCAACAGCTCTCAATTTTAAAGAGGTATGGGGGAGGGAAGGTTTTTCAAAAGTGCCTGTGATTATGTCTACATACGCAAACAGCGTAGATCAATAGGAACTGATCTATAGGGCAGAACAGCTGGTGCTCAGAATCAGACATCACACTATTCATTTCAGGATTTTTCTTCCCCCCCACCAAACTAGAGCTAGTCAGGTCCCACGTGCCAAATGCCCATTTGTAGCTGCAGTTCTTTATGTGAGCTGCTGGAGAGCATCTTTCAGTTTGGCTTTATTCAAAAGGAATCCAGCTCATGTGCTCTGAGAACACCCCACAATGTGAAGCAAAGCTCAGTGAAGCAACACTTATGATCAGTCAATTTGCTTCAAAAGCACACTCATGAGCCACACTATATCACAAACGTAGATGAAATGCATGAGAATGACATGCTTAACTTCTGAAACTTAATGGAAGTTAAAGTACTAGTTGTTTAAGCTCTTTTTCAAGGTTGCACTTGAAATTCCATTAGAGCAGGATCAAGTATGCCTTCATGCATACTATGCATGCACCTGATGAAATATCCAGGAAGCTTGATTTCTGAATTTGGCTTTTCATATGGTTATATTTTACTAATACCTAACAATGAGCATGCATCCCAACACATTATAGCCACAAGGAGTGTTGCACCACAACACTTCACCAATGCAACTCAAATAAAACTTAGGGGAAGAACACAGGGTATGAATGTGCCAGGAAAAACTTGCAGTAATGCCAACTCAAAACCATGAAGAATTATAAAACTGGCTCAAAAGTAACAGTCACACCAGTAATAAGTCTGGAGTTTCTAGTTTTGCATTTATTTGTCCTGCTGGGTGTTTTTCCCTCCAAAACTTTCTACAACAATGGAGGCCTGGAAAATGCTTTTAAAATTAAATAGAAGTTAAACATTTCCTGCAAGCACTTGATTTTAAGACCCAGGTCTCTAAGTAAATCACTACATATTGTCATGAATTATGAATGGCCACAACAGTGGGCTTGATCCAAGTTCACTGAAGTCACTGTGTTTCTTTCCAGTGGGCTCTGAGTTATTATCTCAGAATCAGTTAATTTTGTAAAGTGAACGCTGATTTACTAAACAAATTCAAATCATCTGACAAGGTCTTGAAAAAAAAGTCTAGCAGTTTTACTGTACTTGAGATTGTATCCCTATCTATTCTGGTTACCATACCTCATGCTGTTTAGTAAAGACAGATGATAAATGCTAAATGCTTCCAGAAAAAATATACTCATCTTTACATTCATTTCTGTCTAGTAATGGCATCATGAATACCAATATTTCCACATTGCTTGGCTTACCTCACTGTATAACTCAGCATTGGCTTTTGCTTTGACTAACTGAGGTACGTCCTGAGGTAGAGTGTAATTTGTTTTTGTCTTCTCATACTGGGCTCGGTAGTTCAACTGCCATGTAATGAAAAAGTCAACAACAAACTCAGTTATTTTTAATTCACTAAAAATATGACCATTACATGGATTGACTGCTGTTGAATTTCAGGCTATCGGTGCCATATGTTATAGATACACTCACAGCTATGGCCAACACGAATATGAGAGCAATAAGACAATTGTAACTTCTATCTAGGTGCTAGGAAGTAGAATAATTACTCTATAAATAGAATAGTTACTGATTTTCTATAAGCAGAAAATATATTATTAAAAAACACACATTAATAAATACAGAGAAGATAAATCCCTAACAAAGCACACTAATACAAATCTTAAAAATGGAGGAAAATATTACATCCGCTGGTACGCTTGCCACATTTTTGGAAGTTACTTCATTCAATTTGCATTTTTGTTTTGGTTGTAAATCTGCTGATGAACTATCAAGAATAAAACCACTTAAGTGCTACAAATGCTATGAAATAAAATTAGCTCATAAACAATGGTGGCTAATGATGACGGAACTTACATCACTGAGCTGCTGCGCGTTTATTTTGGCTTGAACCATTTGTGGAGTGCTGGCAACAGAGCTGTACTTCAGTTTGTCTATGCTTTGTCTGTAGTTTACCTAATTTAAGATAAAATTAAAAAGAAGATTTAATAAAGGCAGAAATGGTCACACTGGAAAATGAGAGATTGAGCAGACAAAGTTTTGTTAGTTAATACTCTGGATAAATCATTACTTAAACCATAATAAATAGAGGTGAGGAGAAATGTCAGGATCTCTTGGATGAGATCTGAGTTAATGCTCTGAAAATTTCCTAGTCTGAGGTCACAGTTTTTATTCCACTTTGAAAATGAACTTTATTTGTAACCCCTCCCCCTCAAAACCACATATTCTTAAAAAGATGCAGCTGGTCCACCAAAGCATTCCTATAAAACCGATACTCTTAACCATCTCTTAGACTATTTTTATCTTTCTCAGACTACCTTTATAAAGGAACATTGTAACTGTCTGTTAAGAGGTCTGCCCAGTGCAATGCTGCGCAGAACAAATTCACTCTCTTACACTTTGTTTTACTGGGTTTTAATGTAATAATTAATCACAGAATTTCATAGAATTTACCTGTGTGGTAAGAGTTTTCTGTGGATGATGAGAGAAGAAAAATATGGTACAAAAAAAGTCATTTTAATGTCAGCCATTGATAAGAATGGAACCCACTAAATTCCTAACACACTAACATGGTAGCAGCAAAAATAGACTATAAAATAAATACATTAAATCCACGAATTATGCAAAATAAAAAAATCACGGAGAAGCTTTCTTTCAAACCTGTTGCTGCCAAAGGACTCAGTGCTACACTGCAGGACACAATTATTATTCTCTGTAGGCCTTAATTAACATTCACTGTAGTTAATCACCACTTTGCAAACATTGCTTAAAACTAGTTTCTTAAGAACACTGTTTTCCAGTAAAGTGGGATATATTTCTAGAGACTTTGAGTTACTGAAACTATTTTAATGTGAACCTTCTTATCTCTGGTATCCTCATGTAAACTTGTTCTTTCTGCCACAATGACAAAAACTAGGCAAAATTATCTCAAGGTCCAAAGTGATCAAGGTACTTATAACAGTTCATTTGCTTCTTTACAGAGACAATTTTAATTCCACAGAAATGGATCTTTTATTTTTAACTGAAACTGTGTATTTTTTGCTACCTGTGATTACTTAGCGCGTGAGAGAGTTTTATGCTTAAAGAGTTCAGAGTAAGCATTTCGGCTATCAGTGAGCAGATGAGTCCTGGGACTGTTTCAAACTACTAGATGACAATCATGACTAGTCTCTGTGGCCAACTGATTTCCATGCTCCAAACCCAGATGCTAACTATGGATTGTAGAGCCAAAGGCACTGCTGATGTTTTTAGAGTGGGTAGAACTAATTTGTACATTTTGGACATGAATTCATGCTTATTTTGAACTCTTTAAGAATACAACTGTCTCACACACTAAACAGTCAAACACTGAACATTACTTTTTTAAGCTTTTTCAAAGACAAAGCTGAAATTCTGCTGAAGAGGCAATAGTGCATCTTACAGTTGAAGTTTATGAAGTACTTCCTCAAAAACATCAGGTTTCTCAATTTTACATCTTCATGCTACCAGATAAATTTCATATGTTAATGGCCTCTCTAAGGCATCTTGCCTCCGGTTTCTTGCAATTTCAATGGGAAGACAGGTTATACATATCTTAGGAAGACAAAAATGCTCTACTGCTCTCAGAGAGGTGCTGCTCTCTTCCTGTTGTTTTTACAAGTAATGCCTGGTGACTTTGCTCCTAAGGCAGACATTAAGTTCCCAACAGTAGATGAGATCAATCAAGCCTTTAATGCTCATGAGAGGTGAAAGTACAGTATCCTCTACAGTCTGACATCCTCCATCTATCTGCAGAGCACACATAACCACAGCAGTACACAAATTCCTTCACATTATTCCATCAGTAACTCTACCCCAAGCACAGAGGGCACCTCTCTCACACAGACCACAGGCATAAGGAAGGTTATGTGACCAATTAGTTCCCCTTCAAAGGTGAACACCTATCTTCAGGGAATTCACAAAGCATGAGAAGCCTGTTTAAATCTCCTTGTCCTTTCAGTGCTTGATGTTGCTGTTGAACCTGCCCGGGATGGTGAGATGTTTTGCAACATAGACTAAGGACAGGGCAGAACTCACTCATTTCACATGACTGTACAATCTGTGCTGAACTGAAACCAATGACAGGAGGTGGCAGCACTTTCTATTCCTCTGAGCCCTCTTGACTCCCTGCACTTTTTTGCTTTAACTTTGTTATCAGTAGCTGTTTGCTCCCACGATTAAATCATCATTTGACATAAGCAATCTATCACAATGTCTCCTAGAGAGAGATGATGAGCCATGCAAGTCATAGAAAAAAACCCATAAAATTATTTACATCTTTCAAAGGGACCAACTTCCTTGTTGTCTGATATGAAGGAGTGACAGTAGCTGGGTAATTGTAGTCAACACCGTCATGTTTGTAATCAGATTTATAGGCTATCTGAAACACAGGGAGAACAAAAAAAAGAAATCATTCTCTTTTTTTAAGCTGTCATTTGTTTGAATAATTATCAGTCAAGAGGAAAGGAGAAACAATAATATTAATATTAAATGCAGGAAACAAAGCAAGTTCAATGTCATGAGTGACAAAGAAAATGAAATTATTTGCATAGTTTAGCCACTAATTGATTCTTTTTCAGCTCCTCAATTAATCCAATGCCAACAGTGGGAGCATTAACTTAAATTCCACCTATGACACATCTCTTTTATCTTTCTGCTTAGTTCTCAAGCTTCTTACAGATTTGTAAATAATGTACTTGAAGGAATGGTATGTAACGAAATAGCTTCTTGACTAACCCAGTAAATTAAATTGGAATCCAGAAATCTTCATTAAAGACTGTTTTTTAAGCAAAGGTCTGACCCTGAGGGTAGTGGCAAGCAACCTTCAGCATCCTACTGATGTCAAAGAAAACTGAAGGAGCTCAGTATGTTGCCAGATCACTGAATTTGCTTATTTTAACTTCTTCCATACAGTGAGCTATAAGTCAGTACAAAAGGGTTTCCAGAATTTCCCGTCTTCTCAGTGTATCTATCCTTCAGATCCCCAGTACAATATGACCTAAAGTTTTCTACCAACTTACTTCTGGAAAAACTTAAAGACAAGAAAGCAACAACCATACAAGTGTGATTAAAAAGGACTTACATTGCTTGCCAAGCTTCCAACTTTCATGGCATGTAGCATTCGCTTGTCCATGCCAATACCTACATAATGACCTTTCATCTGGTTCTCGTAGGTTTCTTTGTATTTAAGCTGTACAAAATAAGCAAAAATATTCTGAGAAAATATAACTAGTTTTTCTATGAGTTTCTGTATTTTACAGCAATGAGACAAATTATTACAGCTGTGGTTTACACCACTACAAAAACTCATGAGTCCACAACAACCTTGGTACTTCAAAAAATAAAAAGCACCTCTCTCACACAGACCACAGGCATAAGGAAGGTTATGTGACCAATTAGTTCCCCTTCAAAGGTGAACACCTATCTTCAGGGAATTCACAAAGCATGAGAAGCCTGTTTAAATCTCCTTGTCCTTTCAGTGCTTGATGTTGCTGTTGAACCTGCCCGGGATGGTGAGATGTTTTGCAACATAGACTAAGGACAGGGCAGAACTCACTCATTTCACATGACTGTACAATCTGTGCTGAACTGAAACCAATGACAGGAGGTGGCAGCACTTTCTATTCCTCTGAGCCCTCTTGACTCCCTGCACTTTTTTGCTTTAACTTTGTTATCAGTAGCTGTTTGCTCCCACGATTAAATCATCATTTGACATAAGCAATCTATCACAATCTCTCCTACAGAGAGATGATGAGCCATGCAAGTCATAGAAAAAAACCCATAAAATTATTTACATCTTTCAAAGGGACCAACTTCCTTGTTGTCTGATATGAAGGAGTGACAGTAGCTGGGTAATTGTAGTCAACACCGTCATGTTTGTAATCAGATTTATAGGCTATCTGAAACACAGGGAGAACAAAAAAAAGAAATCATTCTCTTTTTTTAAGCTGTCATTTGTTTGAATAATTATCAGTCAAGAGGAAAGGAGAAACAATAATATTAATATTAAATGCAGGAAACAAAGCAAGTTCAATGTCATGAGTGACAAAGAAAATGAAATTATTTGCATAGTTTAGCCACTAATTGATTCTTTTTCAGCTCCTCAATTAATCCAATGCCAACAGTGGGAGCATTAACTTAAATTCCACCTATGACACATCTCTTTTATCTTTCTGCTTAGTTCTCAAGCTTCTTACAGATTTGTAAATAATGTACTTGAAGGAATGGTATGTAACGAAATAGCTTCTTGACTAACCCAGTAAATTAAATTGGAATCCAGAAATCTTCATTAAAGACTGTTTTTTAAGCAAAGGTCTGACCCTGAGGGTAGTGGCAAGCAACCTTCAGCATCCTACTGATGTCAAAGAAAACTGAAGGAGCTCAGTATGTTGCCAGATCACTGAATTTGCTTATTTTAACTTCTTCCATACAGTGAGCTATAAGTCAGTACAAAAGGGTTTCCAGAATTTCCCGTCTTCTCAGTGTATCTATCCTTCAGATCCCCAGTACAATATGACCTAAAGTTTTCTACCAACTTACTTCTGGAAAAACTTAAAGACAAGAAAGCAACAACCATACAAGTGTGATTAAAAAGGACTTACATTGCTTGCCAAGCTTCCAACTTTCATGGCATGTAGCATTCGCTTGTCCATGCCAATACCTACATAATGACCTTTCATCTGGTTCTCGTAGGTTTCTTTGTATTTAAGCTGTACAAAATAAGCAAAAATATTCTGAGAAAATATAACTAGTTTTTCTATGAGTTTCTGTATTTTACAGCAGTGAGACAAATTATTACAGCTGTGGTTTACTAGTGTTGCACCACTACAAAAACTCATGAGTCCACAACAACCTTGGTACTTCAAAAAATAAAAACTAAAACCCTTTGTGGGCTTTCTATCTTACAAGACGTCATTTACTTATTCTTCAGATCACCTGGTTGCCACATAAAGGAGACACTTTCACATTCTATTGCTGCATAGTATTGAATCAGAAACAAATCCTAGAATGAAGTTGCAGGGAAGCACTATCTGTACATTAACAAATGAACAGACAATCATCTACCAAAACTGGACTGTTTTGGTGCATCTTTCATCAAGCCCAGAGTAGGGAATTCAACAACAAGGTAAACTAACCATGCTACCATCTCATCTGTATGGCAAAAGATTTTCTCCTCCTGGATTTTAGAGGATGGTAGCAAGCAGTATAAAGCAAAATTATACTTCAGTATCGTGAGATACAAGCAGTATAATTATTGATATTGATTATTTTCACACAGTAAACATGTTTCTCTCTGACATTAACTCTGGTAAATTATCTTTTGCCTACCTTTGCAGTCAGGAAATGAACATAGACAATGAAATAAGTAATAATTATGATAGATAACAGTAACAACTGACAGCTACTTGTCTAGATTACCAGTCTATTGTAAGTAACCTCTCTTCCATATAGCATAATAGTTCTTTTCATAATTCTATATAAAAAGAGCCCCAGTTATCCATCAGGACAGACTATGATAGGTGCTGTACAGACAGGGATTAAAATCAGTTATAATCAAATTCCCAGAGCATGCTTATCTGAAACACACACACATAGATGACTTCCAGCAGCTACCAGGTTAAGCAAGTCACACATGAGGTACTGAAAACTTACATCACTGGTGAATTTGGAGATCTTGCTCACGTTCTTGAATTGCGGAGTATCACAGTAGTTCATGCTGTAGCCTCTGTTGTTTCCAAGATCCTTCTTATACTCCACCTTAGTGACAAAAATGCACAGGGGAAAGATACGGTAAAACCTCAACCTGCTCTGTCAAGTTCCTCCACACACTTTTTATTAGCCAGACCCACTGTTCAGCGATTTTGATACATGGCTTTCACCAGATGGCATACGATGAAAATTAATATGAAGATGATTTTCATACACGCAGTTCTTGTTTTATAGGCAAAAGAAGTGCAAACAATTTCATCCATTTGGACCTCAGGGAAGTGTGTGAGACAGTGCCATGAAGAAAATTATTAACAAAGCCAGGATCTATGAAGGAATTTTAAGTTAAGTGTGGAGCAAAGGAAAGCAGAAAAAGCAATGGGTGTTTTTCAACAGGAAAGATTGAACAGGGGGAAGTTTACCAGCAGAATTCTTCACAGTAAGTTTAGGTACAGAACTGGTTCAATATTTTCATTAAGTACCTTTGCTCTAAAGTAGAAATGTTAGGGGTGATATTAAAAGGGATAATAGAAATCAGACTAAATTCAGCAATGTAGAGGTTAATATACATAAGGAATAGTCATAAAAATTTCAGCTATAAGAACTCATCACCTGGAAAAGCTAAGAAAGAGAAAACTGTTCATATGTAGCCTGACCACAGAAAGATGGCAAGATGCCAGAGTAACACAGCCATGAAAAAGGCAAATGCAGTCCAAGGCAGGAGCAAGAGGAGACTTTTGGGTAGGCACTGGGAAGTGCACGTGCTATGTACCAGGTTCCAGCAAGACCTCATCAAGAACTTATGTACTCTTACAGTCATTCCTGTTTAAGGAACATGCGCTCAGCCTGTAACAGCTGCAGAGAAATACTGTGAGAGATGAGAAGAATATGGCTTGCTTAGTCTAGGGAAACAAAGGCAGAGAGAAGATAACTGTTTGTAAACATCTCAGAAAGGTAATCATGCAGAGAGAAGAACTTTTTAAACTAAAGGGCAATGATGGCACAAAATACAATAGTAATAAAGTGGACAGGAATGAATGTAGGCTAGGAATTACAAGAAGAGGATTATATGATACTGTGCCGAAAGAGCAGGAGCCAGGAATCATTGGCCCAGGAGGCCCCTTCCAGTCCTACTTCCAGGGGTTTTTCATTATTGAAGGTTTTATACTTTGACATCTCAAGAGTATAAGTTTTTAAACTGCCATGGGGAAGCTCTAGAAACTCACATTTATTAATAGCTTTATAGCTGATATGACACTATAAATAAATTAATAATTCAGAATCTACTGAGAACTCCCTAGCAATCTTCCCTTGCCAAGCAGAAGAAGAATGCGTTATCAGTAACTCACAGGCTTTCACATGATGGAAGGAAAAAGCAACTTGCATTAACAGAATGGTACAAATGTTGGCTCTTTAGGTGTTATTTTTTAATTATCAGTAGAACCTTCTTTGAAACACTCTAAGGTACACAGTCAAGATAACAGCACCTGAAGATCTGTTCTTGCACCTTTCCCTCCAGTTACTGTGCTACACACAGATCATTTTTGTGTCATACAGGCCAATAAGAACAACAGGTTTTATATTTGTAGTCCTTACCCATCAGACACAAATGTTTGTATGTGCTGCTCTCAAACTTGTTAACAGATTGATTCAACCCCTTACCTCACTGACAAGCTTGTTAACACTTTGGGCTTGTTTAAGGACTAAGTTGTCTTCAGCTGTTAGGGAGTGAAAGTGAGCCGCACCTTTCATCTTGGAAAGATCCTTCTTGTATTTTATCTGAAAAGAAGTAGGAAAAATTATAAAATAGATGTCTACCTTTTCACCATTGCTATTGAGACTGGCTTCATGAGTTGGGATAAGATTTTTCTTGGTTTGCTTTGATAAGCAAACAGAACTTGCTATGTTGAAACGCTGCAAGTTGTTACTTCCTGAAATAAGCCACACATAAAATCACAGCCCTAACAATCCCTGCCAAGCCACTTCACTAGACAGAATTTTTTAAAATCCATAATCCATTTTTTACATAGATTGAACAGCACTGATTGATTGTTGTTCGCAGCTTGAACAGATAACTAGCAGATTCTTGGTTAATGACTGCTTGGAGCTTGTGTGCTCTTCTATTACTGAAGTTAATTCGCAGTACTTCAATTTTAGACTTACAGTCAGAGAATTAAAGATAGTCATCAAGTGCTCTGCAAACTTTTCCTTTTGTAGAAACCAGCTTTTTGAGAAAGCTGTATCTTTTTGGACTTATAATGTTTTAAGACTATTATATTTCTCTACCAAATCAATATTGAAATAAAGGATCTTAATTTAATTTAGACAGCAGGTTATTGATTTAAATTGAGCTAGAATGGGTGAAGAGAGATAATACTTATATTGGCCTTTTGCCAAACTTGGTTCAGAAAAACCCTGTTGGGAATATATTTCAACATTTCTTGCATATTAGGAGATGCTTATATTCTTCATTTTACGTTACTACTTTAAAAACCAGATTCTTAATATAAAAAAATAACAAATTATTTGAAATGTGCTGAAGTGCAAAGTGTTTTTTATTTTCCAAGTCTGCACACAGTTTCTCAGGCTTTAAAGGTATGAAGCAACCTGATAAAAACTCTAGTGTGTTAATGTTACTGCCATGAACCAATGCTTGTCCTCACTCCAGGTATTATAAATTAATAAGAGAACTGCTGACCATTAGCATTTTGAAAACCTATGAAGCTGACATCTTTATCTGGTAAGATTAAATATTTCATGTTTAATCACAGGATCACTGTGATTATCAAAATGTGTCATCAAAATAGGAATTGATCACAGAAGGTTTCAGGTTTTTTATATTCTCTCAGTCATAAGCTCAGGTAACAGAATATGACCGATCCTTTCACTCTGGTTTACTGTTTGTGTGTAGTCCAGGCTAGTACAGGCTGAAAGAGTCAACCATCTGTTAGCTCCTCAGAAGACAGACTGAGCCCATCAGCTCAGATAGCCCCATGGGCGTCAGGTGTCCACACTACAAAGGTTGTCACTTGCAGGAATCCTTCACAGCAGCCACAGGGTAGTGACCTACAGACTGACCTGGTTTTTGTCACTGCTATAAATGGTCTCCTCAAATAGGACTGAGGCTCTTTAATCAACGAACTGCATGCAAGAATCACACATCGCCACCTTTTTTGCTGATTCTTTAGCTTACCACCCAAAACTAAAAATCCCCAGCCTAGAAATAAGCTCAGTCTTGTGAAGTGACAGTGTCATACTCTATGGTTTCTCTTCCTCCATACAACTTGCTTTGTGCTAGAGGCATGATACATCAAAATATCAAAACCAGTTCAGCTCATTCATCCTCCATTTATTCACTACTGGGAATACCACAGTAGTCCACAGGATGATTAAGGCAGTTGAAGGTTTCATTAATAATACAGGTGCAGATTTGCCAGGAGGGTTAACCTAACAGTAGGGATCCCCATTAGTTGCTACATCCATCTCCTCCCCCATGCAAGTTGGAGCTGTGTCCCCTTCTATTAATGGATATTATTAATCCCCTGAGCCATCCAGTTCCCGGCAATGCAGTGAAATGTCATTGTTGTTTACTTCACAAGTGTAATTTTAGCATTCTTCTCCTAGGCAGTGCTCTGACAAACCGCTGTTTTTAATTGTTTATGAATTGTATTGATTCAGGTCTCATACTTACATCACTTGCTAATTCATTTGCTTTCTTGGCATTTTGATAAGCTGGAGTGATCATAGCAGGAAAGCTTCCTTTCCCTCTGCGTTCTTCATATTCATCCATATAATCCTGAAGAAAATTCAGAGTGTTTACTCATCATACCTGAGCAGGTGGGGCCCTGGGTGATTTCACAAAGCCCCATAGTTCTTGTTAGTAGGAAAGTTCATTGCTTCATTTTATTTTTTTATGAAAAAGATAATAAAGTAACCAACTGTAAGAGTAAAATCACCCATTAAATTAACTGTGCCTATAAAATTACTTGTATTGCATTGCAAGAGAAATTTAGGTAGCAATCAGTTACGGTCAAGATAGCATTCAAGTATGCAGTGACATACATCCTTCTAATCTCACCTCAGTTCTTACAGAGATGACATCTGCTATCCCCTCTCTTAATAGATGTTTCCCTGGAAAACTATAAAAATATCTGATGGTTTGGGGCAGCCAGGAGATTTGCTTAAACTCCAAATTTAGCATAAGGTCAGCCTTCCTCTGTGACATGACAGAAGTCTCTTGATCTCCATGGCCATTTCTCACATCATAACTGACCAAAAATAATATTTCTCTAATGCAGTGATATATTTGAAGAGAGATTCATTAATGGAGCAGAAATGTCTAGATATCAAAGTGGTAAACTCCTTAGGGAACAAAATCACAAAATTCCATTTGCTTGATTTAAAAAAACAATTGTGGTGGAATTAATACCCTTGGATCTTATAATTATTATATTCTCTCTATATATATTTACATATATATTATTACAATATATTCTGTTAATACTCTTAGATAAGTTTGTGTGTAAGTGTTTGACAATTTGAAAAGCCTTTTGATAATTTAATAACAAAATACTGGAGCTTTTTTTAAAATGGTAATACACAATGACCATCCCAAAGCTTTCAATGGCAAGATCTAGGGAGAAAGTTAAGTATACAAACAAATAAGATATAGTGTAATGTGTCTTCTCTGTAATATTTTGTAAATCTGTTGTAGTAAAGACACAGTTTAAGTGAAAAAACAATGTGTAGCATGTCAAGAATGCCATGGAGAGCACAGACAGAAAGGACTATAAATATTTGTGACTTCTCAATGCAAATCAATCCATTGTATGTCATTTTGTAAACCATCAATGTCACATGATAAGATCAGCCGTATCCTAAGTTTATGAACAATATTATGTAGTTACAGTTACTGCATCTAAAGAGGCAGAAACTAAAAAATATCCTTGACTAATCAGCTGAGTTAGCTTTTTAAAATGCTATTCATGAGTCTGAATTCTTCAGCCTAACTTGCCATTTTCTCTTTCTTCTTTCTCAAATACATTTTTATATCATTTCTAATATTGCTTATATTACAAACCAGTATTTTCAAAGTTCCAGATAATTAATTTTAGCCACTTCTAGTATTTTTAAACATGAACAAAACAGGTGTTCAGCACACAGGAATTTTACAGTAAGATTCTTTAAATTGTCTCATGTTTTATATATATATATATATCTTCATGATGTATCCTCATGATCTCAACAGTTAGAAATCTAATCCCATGTTAAGTCTCACTTCACTCAGAAAGATCTATTCATTTCAATGGCTCTATTTTATTTGAATAAAAATATCAGAATCCAATCTATGAAGATTAAAACTCAAATTAAATTTGAAGTCTGTGACTGAAGTTTCAAAGATACTTTCAAAGAAAATAAAGAAAAAAAACTTAAATTAATTCTAAAGATAGCAGTATTCCAATGCTCGAAAATGTAATTGGAGCTTTTTCAAATTATTTTTTTTTGTTTATTCTTACTAAAACTTGTAGTAGTTCAAAAGACAGAAACTAACTGAAGGCTTCATTGCTACATATTGTAAACTCATATTCTTCAAGAATGATTTTCTTTTTACAGATTACAAGATGTAGGTTTGGACAGACGAAGTAAAGAACATAAAACTCCCAAATGTCTTAGGATAATATATTCCCTGTTCCTTCATTTCTCCAAACTGTATGGGTCTCATGAGGAGTCATTTTAGGATGAAAAACCTAATACTAACCACACAGTTTTGTTTATGCAAAACCACTATTCAACTCCTTTCAAATTCCCTTTAGCTGTATTCAGTTCTATTGAGCTGTACTATTTCCCTAACTTAATTGGAATAGAACTTTGGATGCATTTTGGGAGACCACAAAAATAACTGCATTCTCTTAAAAATGAAATAAAAGCAAAACAAATGCCACAGACCAAAACAGAAGTAAAGCTTATTTGGTTCCACAAACACACAACTACAACTTGTCAAGCTTACAATACCATTTTGGTAGAAGAGCTGAAATCTAAGAGATTGTGTATGATCTTCAGTGCCACCTGCACATATTTAGAGATGCAAAGCTTCTACGATTTCTAAAAACACTGGTAGGGAAAAGATGCTTAACTATCTACCAACTTTCTACCATTTCACAACCCTTTCACTTTTTCTCCTAACTGAATTTACAATTTCTTTCTCATGGAATGGGAAAGTTTCCACAAGTAAACACATTTCAATGTGATGTGTAACAACACCACAATAGAAATGTCTAGTGCATACATGTACACAGATAAAATTTGCCGAGGTAAGGCTTACCTTTTGGAATGACCCTACTATAAGGATCATGCAGTGACAGTGCACGCACCTTGTAGTCTCATCTTGTAAGTGCCAATGCCAAATATATTACACATTTAGAGCATGGTCTTTTCCATTGAGACCTTGCTTTCTCATGCAGGAAAGCAAAATTAAAATAGGTCTCACTGCAGTTTCTAAAGTCTTGAACAATCAGCCACGGTAATGATCAACATCAGCACAGGTATCTCTCGGATGTTGCATACCTGGCCATATTGGTCTACGTTTTCTCTTGCAAAAGTAACATCTGTTCCAGCTGTATGGCTGGCTTTTCCCTTGATCTCTTTTTCATATCTTTGATGATACTTTACCTAATGGAAAAAAAGAAAAGGAAAAGAACCATCTAGGTGAGTTTAGTCTGGTCCACAGATGCTGCATTATAAATAATAATCAATGGCACGCACATGTTGACAATAAAAGATTGTCAAAATTCCCATTGCCACCAATCTACAGAAGTCAAATATGTCACTTGAAGATATAAAAACAAAACTAGTGGTGTACTTTTTAATAATGCACTAGGAACATGGGACTTGCCAGTTCAACCCAGACCATTAGTTCAGCCTGTGCAGTACTCCCTGTCAGCAGCTAATCCCTGATGCTCCAGCAGGTTAAAAAAATAGGACTGATTGGAATGTAAATTCATAGTTACCACAGAGCACTTTTTTTTACCACAGGGTCATCTGAATGCCATTAATAAATGGGCTTGTTTCTGAAAGATGCTAATATCCCCAATGATCAAGGGAATTTTAGGCAATCAACCTTCAAGTTTAGACCAAGATTTACACTACCTTTGCCGAAGTCAAAATAATGCCTATAACCTGATGCTGCCCTTTAATCACCCTGTGTGTTTGCTGACACAAATGAAGGGGTTTCCACACATCAAAGGCAAACAAAAACATTTAAATGTTTTAGTCAGTTGCCTTTGCCTTCAAAATTACAGATCTCTTGTTTCCCTCAATGACTCTTAATAATGCTTTAAATTCACTTCCATTGAGTTAGCACAATATGTTATCTTCTCCACCAAAAAGAGCTTTCCTTTCAGTCTGCAATGACCAAACACAATTAACTGTACATTTTGAAGCAATACTGATGCCCTGTTACAATGCTTTTTAAAGAATACAGGGGTGTTGTGGTTTTTTTGTTTGGAGAGGAAAAGAAAGTCAATAAAGATCAGTACACCAAGGAGTTTTTAAAAAACCAACAAACCAAGAGTAAAGAGAGTAAAATAAGTGGAATAGAAAGCTATATTTTTAAATCTATATCTATGTCAAATGTATGCATGTGTTTGTGTGTATGTGTCTGTGTATACTTTATATATATAATTGTTATTCAAGAAGCTGCTTTCATAAAAGCTTCATCCTGCAACAGCACAAAAGAAGGAATAGCAGAATGAACTGTAAGGATGCACAGGGAGCATGGAAAGTCATGGCAAAGCAGAACTCTGCAAGCACAGCCCTTCCCTGATACAAGGTCACCCAGAAATATTCTGGCTGTGTAAATTAGAGCTGCACTTCAGCCCCTGTTACTCCTACTGGGTTGGGCAGAATGAAATCAAAGACCTCCAGCCAAGTCCGTATTGTCTTCCTTCTCAGTTGTATGCAACAGGCTGGGTAAAAGGGACACTTTTGCCCACAAAAATCCTCGGTGTTGATTCACAAATAAAATGGCTAATTTTCTCCCTGTGCATAAAACTTAACTTTGTCCCTGCAAAAGACAACCACTTGAAAATCTGTGTATGAAGTGCACTGCTAGCATAACTCCACAATGCTCATGAAATTTCTGCCAGTAAACATTTTAATCAAAAATTTGCGTGAGAATTAACTCTTTTCTTCCCAAAGACTTTACTTTGGACACTTACATCACTGGCTAATTCATTTGCTCTCTTGGCTATTTGGTAAGCTGGAGTGATCATAGCAGGAAAGCTGCCTTTCCCTTTCCGTTCTTCAAAGTCTTCTGTGTATTTCAACTGTAAAAATCCAAGACAATTCAGGAGCAATTAGATCAAAAATGTATCTTAACTATACTCATAATCAATTCTTAAAGTTGCAAAGTCAGGCATTCGATGGTTGTTGTCTGCCAAAAGGAAGAACCATGAAGTCTGAATCTACTTCTTTTGTGTGTATGTTTTACAACATAGTCTTTAACCACAAGACAGTGTATCTTCTGTGGGACCTCTGTGTCTAATTCAGGGTATAGGATGGATCACAGTTGTTTAAAGAAAATACTAACATTGCCTGCACAATGCCTGCTCTATTAATATTACAGTCAGGCAGCTTCCTTTATTTTCACAGAATCGCAGCATCGCAAGGGTTGGAAGGGACCTCGGGAGATTATCTAGTCCAACCCCCCTGCTAAAGCAGGTTCTCCTACAGCATGTTACACAGGACTTTGTCCATGCAGGCTTTGAATATCTCCAGAGAAGGAGACTCCACAGCCCCCCTGGGCAGCCTGTTCCAGTGCTCCGTCACCCTCAGAGTAAAGAAGTTTTTCCTCATATTCAACTGAAACCTCTTATGTCTCAGTTTGCACCCATTGTCCCTTGTCCTGTTGCTGGACACCGCTGCAAAGAGTCTGGCTCCGTCCTCGTGACTTCCACCCTTAAGATACTTGTATCTATTGATGGGGTCCCCTCTCAACCTTCTCTTCTTCAGGCTGAGCAAGCCCAACGCTCTCAGCCTTTCCTCACAGGGGAGATGCTCCAGTCCCTTTATCATCCTAGTTGCTCTCCTCTGGACTCTGTCTAGGAGTTCCTCATCTTTCTTGAACCGGGGAGCCCAGGAGTGTCCAGCCCAGAACTGGACACAGTACTCCAGGTGGGGTCTCACCAGGGCAGAGTAGAGGGGTAGGAGAACCTCCCTCCACCTGCTGGCCATGCTCCCCTTAATGCACCCCAGGATACCATTGGCCTTCTTGGCAACATGGCAGCCAGCTGCTGGGTATAGAACAGACTTGTTATCTGCCTTCAGTTCTGACAGCCAGCTAGTCCCTAAAATGGCCTAGAACTGAATATAGTCTTCATAACTGGAAGTATTAAATACTTAATGGTAAAGTATACCAAGAATATTTTAAGGTAATACACATTTCAAGAGTCTGCCTTTCAAATATTAATTTTTTACTTTTATGTTCATATTTTTAAGTGATTTATAAAGGTCTTAAGAGCCACTTGCACAGTTCAACCTATTTTGTTCCACTTACATCACTTGAAAGCTGTCCTCCAACCTTTGCATGAAGTATATCTGGAGTGTCTACAACAGAGGTGAACTTTGAAACTCTCTCTTCATGTCCCCGCTTATATTCTACCTGAGGGAGAAAACATATAAAATATATATTACAAACAATAAGCAGCAAATATGCATTTTCTATCAGAAGACTTCAAGAGAAAATGAGCAACAGCAGTCATGACATTCCCCACTGTACCATCAAGTTCTCAGTATATTTAAGGCCCAATTTCTTTAAAGTGAATGCCAGAAGCAGACAGAAATGGACTCAGATAATCAAATTTTCAAATTATACTAGATATATGTGAGCCATACTAGATTTATGTGAGCCATACATTCGATTAAAATATTATGAGAATAGTCATTAATGGCCCAAAACACTAAGAACATAATGCAATGACAATGCAGACAGTGTTTGCAGAAAACAATGCAATACTTTAAAATAATTTCTACAGGATTTATTTTTATTTGATCTTTTTCAGTTGAATTGTTATTTTTGTAAATAAACCATTTTCTGTGCATATAATTAGAGTACTTTGTATATGAATTAAATTCAATATTAAAGTATTTTTTATTCAATGTTATGGTATTTAACTTCAAATAATAAAGAGAGAAAAAAACATCAGATGTAAATAAATAGATTAATAAAGCCATAAAGTGAAAATAAAGGTAATGAAGTAAATAAATATTTTAGAATTATTCACAATCTCTTTCAGTTTGTGATAAGTTACAGCAAAAGTTGCTACATCTTTCAGGAAATATCTGTATTGCCAGTTTTCCTGTATGATTGTCTTCCCAAGCCAAGTAGTTTGTTAACCCTGTTTTCTGCATCGTGTTAAAGCTTTCTCACTTTGTAGAATTAACACTACCAAAAATATTCATCATAGAACCTACTGTCTAATGTGAATGGCCTAAACCCAGGATTCTCCAAATTCAGAAGTCTAACATGCAATTAAAAACCCCATGACTTACATTACTGCTTAGTTGGGTAGCTCTCTTAGCAGCCTGATAACCTGGAGTAATCATAGCAGGAAAGCTGCCTTTGCCTCTCCGTGGCTCATATTCTTCTGTATATTGAAACTAGAAAATGAACATTTTTTGTTTTGTTGTTACAGAAGAACCCACTGCAGTTTAATGTGATTCCTCTTTTAATGCCTGCTTCCTAAAGGTATGTATCACTTTATCTAAAAGTAAACAAATTAAAGAACTTACACCTTATAAGTTTGTTAGGTAGTAATATTTCCTGCGTACAACAGAAAACATTCCTCATTCATATCAATTATCCACTGTTAATTGGCTATGTTGACTGAGTCACTAACCTATTGTATGGGCATAGACGATCTGTCATAATTCAGAAGTGATATTGAGAGTGGAAATACACTTAACAAATGGAAAATAAGACATGCTTTCCATCATAAGTTCTGCTCTACTGAGGGAAACACCACTGCCTGCTAAATCAGGATATAATCAAGGTCACCTCAGATATCATTGATCAGTAGTTGAAGAACTTCTCAATTACATAAATATATAAATGTATGACTTCCAGGATGGGCAATAGCATTGTTATGTGACTTTAATCACTTACATGGCTAAATATTGCTATTGACAGAAGTAAACATGTCAGTATCTCCTTTGGTTACATCTTAGTAAAGGATGGCTTTGATGCACTGGTAAGTCTTCAGAATATGATAGCCTGAGAACAAAAAGCTATTCCAAACATCAGTCCACTTACATCACTTGAAGTCTTCTGTGCCTGTGTTATCCTGACCATCTCAGGATCTGGGATGGTTCCCGAGTACCACGACTTTCCCTCTTCATAGGCAGCATAGTAAGCATTCTACAAAAAAAAAATTAAATAACTACCAATCTTCACCAGTGTTTTAATACACAAACAGCTGTTCTGACAGAAAAAAAAAGGAAAAACACACAATGCTGTGGAAGTGAAATTTACTCTCTGTAGACATACAGCACAAGGCCTACACTCCACATACCTTCAGAATACCAAGGCAGAGCTTGTATAACAAGAACTAACATCAAGACGTCAGATCTAGGATCTTAGAGTGAGACTCAGATAATTCCCCCTGGGAATCAAACCACTTGTTGTGAGGTTTCAGTGTCAGTTGAAAGAAGACAGGTTGAGCATGGCTGCACATGCAGCAGTCCAAACAGCTAACTGTACAGATATGCTCTTCCTTGCTCATCTTCTGATTTTTGCACCCTCAGCTATGATCAAGCTATGCTGCCTTGAAAAGTTTAGCCAAATGAGAAGCAATGGCTTTTTTAGCATTGAAATGCTGTGAGTAAAACCCTAACAATCAGGACTGGCAAGGCTGATCCGTGGTCTTCTGCAGGCTAGTGGCTTGGAGACTCGAGGGATATTTCTTACCTGGGTGGTCAGTTGTTGGGCTTTATAGGCAGCTTCAATTTCTCTGGACCTTACATCCCATTGAAAGACTGATTTGAATTGTTCGCCCGCTTCTCGATATTTTATCTAAAGAAAAATTGACTTGGTATTAGTAGTTTGTTGGTACAGACTAACACACCCTTCTTAGGAGAAGAACAAGAAGGGAGACAAACAAGGTGAACACAGTCTATTAGATATTCACAATGATATGGAGTCTGCATGAACTGCAGCAACAAAAGGAAATGTATATGAATACAAGACAAAACAACAAAACCAGTGCAATCCCCACCGTAACAAATCTACTCCAGTGCCTGCTAGTTTTGGCTGCACCTTAAACCAGTCTAAAGGAAGGCTACTTCCAAAAACACCTCTGGCCCTACTAGGTGACCCTTCTTCTTGTCTCTCACACACTGACACCATCAGACAGGCTGCTGTTAGGGAAACTGTATCAAGGAATTAGTATGTAGGCTTTTGCTGTGTTAGCTTTCAGAGATGTCAGTTCCTTCGTCTGTCTCACTGCAAAAATCATCAATACCAACACAAGAGGAGCAGAGGAACAATGTGACTGTACAGAACTAATTTTCTGGGTGGCAGCATCAACACAACTCAGTTTAAGATGATTTACTCTAGTCATCATGTTTACCTGTCTCTGTGCGTTAGATCTCCAGTTGCTACGGACCAGCCTAGTTTTCGTGCCAACTAATAATTTCACCCTGAAGACACATTTATATATGACATTAATGCATAAACCAAGGGACTATGACAAGCACAGCTGATCCACCAAATCTCCACAGCCCACAAGAAAATACCAACCACCTTCTGAGAGTCTGCAAAACTCTCCATCTTTTCCTCCTTCTTGCTCTTTAGACCAACACCACTTACAACCTGCTTACGTACAAAAAGGCCACATAGCCTGTAGCTCTAGGTCATGCAAAGACTACATAAATACTTCTTGCATGCTACCCATTCTTGGAAAAGGAGTCTCCATGGAAGAGAAGACTGGGGTTAGCCCTAAGGTCAAAACTGTACTCTCTAATCCACACCCTCATTCTACCTAAGTGGGGGTTTTTTTGCTATTATTGGAGCTGCACATCTGTAAAGGAGCATCATATTAGACCTGAAATCTGGCACAAAGTTGTAAAAGAAAAATCTGGTCTTTAGATAATACTTTCGGGGGAAGTAATCTATAAGGACTGAAGTCCCCAAGGATTTTTAAGCAGAACACACCAATGCAGCATTAGATGAAAGAACTATTACCTGGTGGGTAATATTTTACTCTTCACTTTCCCTGCACAGTGGCCATGAAGTATCATGACTGTGCAAATGTAAATGACTACTATACTTAGTCCTGGGTCATCATTTTCCCACTGTTAATTTTATCATGACAGCACACAGAAATACAACTGAAATCACAGCTATGTTGTACAGCTCACTCTACAGATGCAAAAAATAAGTGTCTCTATCCTGAAGAGTGCAAAATCTAAACTGGCTGGACAGAAAAATCACTGAGCATGTGTACCACTATCCCTATTGTATAAATTAAGTACAGAGGTACAGAGAGATGAATGATTTGTCTGCTTACATAGAAATTCTGTATAGAGGGAGGGAGCTGAATTTTTATCTTTGCATTCGAGTCAGTGTCTCAACATAAAACTTATGTGAGAACATTATGTTAGGATTAAAGAAACATGTGACATTTATTGCATAAGAAATAATCTTACCTAAAAAAACCCAACAAACTACAGTAGCAATTGAAACCTTTTCTCAAGTTGGCACTATTCTATACATTTACCAATGAAAAAGTTTTACTACATTCAAAATTTCTACAGAAGTTCTCCCTTTAGGTAAGTACTGCAGAATCAGCTTCTTTACTACCCTTAGCAATTTTCTCTCTGGAGCAGAACCTCATTATGTGATTGAAAAGGACAGAAGGTGCTTTAGGTGTAAAAAACAAGGGAAAGTGATCTTTGAGCTATAATTTGTCTGGCGTGTATATTCACATGCACTGGAAGTATCAGAGTCTCATATCACTGCCTAAAACCAGAAATAGAACCTGCAGTAATCCCAAACTCATTCCTGACCAGATCTGTCATACACAGTTTAAAGTAAGTGTGATAGTCACTGCTGAAATAGTTAATGCCTATGATATTGCAAATCCTGATACTGCAAATCCTGATGCATAAGAATACAGAACAAGAATGATAAAGAACAGATATGGTGTCTGATAAAGGCTATTAAATGTACATCAACTTTGTACAGCTAATACAGAACATCAGAATTAATATAGCACACTATAATCTAAGAAATACAACTTCCTTCTTTTATTTTAATTACGATTAATCACATTGAAATGCATTGGTTTGCTAAATATAGTCATGCAATGAAGAGTACTATTTTAGGGTATCAAAAGACATGACACTCAAGAAAATAGTATTATTCGTAGAAGTGACATAGCTATCAATTATTGGCTGTTTCTGTGTTTCTCATTTCATAAAATTCTTAGAAATACAAGTCTGAAACAAATGTATCTGGAGGAAAACAATGCAAGACAGAAAAGAATGGCATTTGAAAAGAAAGAAGACTTTGAGCACCCCTAGAGGTTTGTCGGGGCACAGCAGCCTTTCAGGGGACAGATGCAGTTGAAAGGGCATGGAAAGCTCATCCATCCTTCGCGTTTTAGCAAAACATTTTCAGCAAAACCATGCAAAGCTCCCTGGACTTCGTGTTTTCTCACAAGAGGGAAAGATCATCTCAGGTTTTTCAGAAATACTTGACACGGTATTTATGAGAATTTTTGACTATGTCCTACTGAGACAGAATTTATTTTTTGTTTTGTGCCCTTTAGTATCAGCTTCAGAGATCATAAAGTAAGTAGGTCATTCTTGTTTCAAGTGGCTGTGTAAACCCCCCTGATTTAGTTACTAGGTTTACATAGCTCTGGGCAGCATCTCCCACAGTTTATGGAAACAATGCTTCCATGTAGATTATCAGAAATGGCAGGTGAGAAACTGCTATCCATTTTTCTTTCTGAAAGTAGAAGCAAATTCAGATCTAACCTGTCTTTCGTATGAGTGAATGCATTTTAAGAATTATGAATCAAACCCTAGCTGAGATCTTACTACTCTAAAAGAACGTGGGAGGGTAAGTAAAGAATACATACCTACGTTACATAAAGAACACATTTCTAAAACAAAACACAAATATGATATCAAAAAGTAAAACAAAGCTAAATACATTTGGCCCTCAAGCTTCTTACCTCACTTACCACTTCCGACAGTTTTTTTGCATTTATGTTTACTGGTGTCTCAAATATGCTTGTGAACGCATTGTTTTTTGGATTATGTCTAAAAAAGGAAAGTGTAAAAGGATATTAGGAATGTATCAGCCCACTAGAAAGGTTCTTTCTGAGCACTCAAAAACACAATACCAGCCTCCACACCTCTATACATAACTTTTCCCCCTCTCATACACAGATCTCAGATTACATTCAAGTTATTATTGTATAGAGTAGGTGCCTAGAGCAAAATTAATTTTAATGATCATCATATCAATGCTGTGTTTCTAATAACAAAAGAGAATAATAGAATAAAAAACAACTGTCATCTCTCCTTTTTCTGCTGACAAATTTGACAGGAATTGATCATTATAAAATAAAAACTTCCTAGAAAAAACCAACTCCAAAATCTGCATTTTATACATTTTCTTGATGATTAGCTCAACCTTGTTAACTCTTAACCGCTGATTTGGAAAGCACTGAATTTTATGGTTGGGTTTATTTTCCTCCCACAATACTGAAATGGAACTTAATTTGGTATCTTTTAATGCACTGGACAAATATATATACAGTAACTTTAAGCTTTATATACAGTAACAAGAGTTCCCCATCATTTGTCGTTCACATAAATCCAAAGATATGCATGAAGGCACTAACAATACATAATTTCACATCACTCATGGGACCAGGCTGAGTCCAAATGGTGATCTTCTGTAACATTAAAATTACTTGGCATTTTAAACCTTTGCTTAAAAAAAAGAAAAGGAAACACTTACACTTGACAGTAAGGCTTTTTCTCGTGGCTAACAAAGTTGTTTACTGTTAACATCATCTTGCATACTTCGCAGTGAAAACAGGCTTTATGCCATGTCTGGAAATACCACAAAACAGAAACCAAACACACATGATTCATATTTCATTATTATTCTGTTGAGTTTTAAATCTCAGTATTCATCCTTAACATTCATTTACAAATTTGAAGAATTCTTCTTCAAATATATGCCTATTATTAACTCACTTCAGTTCTAAACCCAGTTATGCGTAAAGAATTTTTGGAACCAAGAGATTTGCACTGTGTTAAAAGTGCCAATCTATACATTTATTATAGTCCAAAATAATAAAGAAAGACAACTGACCTGATCTATACAGTTAATCTTCTCAGCAGGGTAAACCCCATAGCCACATCTAGCACACGGCTGCACATTCATCTTGAAATCCACAGAGTGAAAAATATATAGGTTTATACAAAAGGTTCAAAGAGTATGAAAGTGACTTCTTGGCCTGTGCAAAGCACACTCTAGACACTCCAGTCAAGGCCTTTTGCTGTGGTCAATGGCTCCCATTAAAGCTCTGAATTGAAGTCTGTTGCTCCGTTTGCTGACCTTCTGTTTCAAAGTCAGCTGCAGGCTGGCTTTTAAAGCTGCCAGTTAGTAAGAGTGGTTATTTTGGCAACTGTGTCAGTGCATAAGGGAGGGTAGCAATATCTTTCTCTAAATAGAAGAATGAACTCACAGAAACGAATCACATCCATGTGAACGTTAGAGTCTGATCATTTAGTATTTCAGTTTTGCTGTAAAGCTCGTTGTCATAAGCCCAGGATGAAAAGTATACACAGCAGCAGCAGCAATTTATCATAGTCACTCCTCACCCTGATATACAGCAAGTGACCTCATGGAGGACTATTCTGTGTTTAGGAACAGCCTCATACGAGAAGGAGGTACCACCGGAGACACAGGCCAGAGATGGGTTTGGAGCTTCCTGGCCCTTTGCTGGGTCTAGAAGAGGTACACCGCCACTGTCCCAACCAAGCCATTACTTTTTTCCCTTGGTGCCAGCTCAGTTTCACCTTGTATGCTATGGGCAGCAGAGCAGAGCACACTCATTTCTCGTGTCTTTCTGTTTCATCAACCGATTATTCCATCTCCAGGTGTAGGAAGACACACAGTGAAATGGGGCAGAGCCTCTTATCTCAAAGACTTCTAAACATGGTGGGTACAAATCCAAACATCTATCTTCTACAGGAAAAACTTCAGAAAGAAACCATTTGCTTTTGAACAGAATGAACAAAGCAGCTATTTAACACGTGTTCACAAAGAGTAGGCTGGCATAGGTCAAAATATCAAAATTCCTTAGCCACATAACAATAAGGAATTATTATGCCTGATATTAGGAATCAAGCGAGTTATTAGGGTTGTGAAGTCTGCTCTGAACAAAAGAAGCTATTAAATTCTACCAGCTACAAATGGTCAGGATTTGAGATTTACATCTCACTTAATCATAATATCTCCAGCTGCAGGGCTCCATAACCCTGGGACACAGCTAAGAGTTATCTCAATCCAAGTAAAAGTCTACTTAGTCGTCCATGCATCTGCACCACTTCCCGTGCCTGCAGCAGTCCTGGGATACTGCTAAGCATTTTCCTTTTCTGTAAATTGCAAACAATTCAATCAAAATCATTTCTGGCTAAACCTTCTGGGTATGCTTAGAGAGCCCCCTATTCATCTCTCTATGGAGACACGCAGTTCTGCTTAACTTATTATTACTGCTTTTACTGAATGCTGACAATGTACTGGCACAACATACTGTCAGCAACTGGTGTGCTGAAAATAGTCTCTAATCTGAAGAGCAATGGGTATGGCACAAAGTCCTGAAAACAGTTGAGGCCTTTCAAAGTAAGCAATTAATATCAGGATATAAACAGATGTATTTTCATTTAAAAAAAAAAATGTTCACAGATTATAACTTCTTGTATTAAAATAACTGCTGAGCTACCTCATGTTATTCATTTTGGGATCAGGAGTGATTTTATGTTGACCAAGTTACATCACAATAATATTTACCGTGCTCACACCTGTGAACCAAAATAATTTGGATGTCTTCCAGTTCCCTTCTCAGACAGCTTTTCATCTTGTCCCAGACTGCCACTGTTTATGCAAGTGACCTGTATTAAGGTCACAGTGGCTAGGCTGTCCCCTCCTCATTTAGAACTGGGCACACTACCAGCTGCTGCCTCTGTGTTCATCTACTCCAAGAGTGACCTTATTGTATATTTCCTGGATAGCCCTAGTTGTTTTCATGCTATCTGAATCCATGCTAGAGCCCTTGTCTCACACTTTGCAAGAAAAAAGATGCATGACCTGCTCCTGTCCCAGCACAGATCATACATTGCTTAAGGTCCTCCTGAAATGAGTTCTGAGAGGTGCTGAAGGCAGGACATCCCTGAACCACACAAAAACATAAAGACTTGGCAACTACAGAACAAATCATTCATCCAGGAGTCACCTGAACATCGACGATCTGGACAGGACTCCAGCCTGGAGCACCAGTGCATACAGCCCAGATGCACTGTGCAGCCAGAGAGCGTACTAGAGGTCCCTGAGAAGAATGAGACCACATATTCCTTCCAAGAGGTCTGTCAGACAGCTAGAAGCTCTTTATTTCACAGATAAAACTTACTTCATTTCAAGATACACAAGGCCTGTTTGCTTCTTTTCACAGCAACACATACTATCAGCTTGGCTAGAAGTCAGCAAACATATTTTCCAAGTTCTCCTTCTCCTGAGTTACAGCATGCTCAAGAAGAGAAGCAGGTGAGCCACAATGCCCTATACAGCTACTATCTTTCCCAGCCACACCACGTCCTTCACATCCATTGTATACCAGTTCTGCTGGAGTCTATTGAAGATTTCCCCATTTCTGAGCACCTCAAAACTCTCCTGTCGCATGGCCTGTTCTTCACCACCCTGGCTTAAAACTAGGTTGATAACAGAAAAGAGAGTTTATTGAAAAACAAGCATTGTATGGTCTCATTACAAAGTATGCACTGCATTTTGATCATGCAAGGAATTAAATCACAAAACCAGTGCTAGTTTGTTATCTTGACAAATCTTAGCAAGACATTTTCTCTTCAGTTAAAAGCTCACTGTGGCTTTTTTCCTCCTTTAGTAAGGCCTCATAAAGGCTCTTTGATATCAATGAGAATCTTAAAAGGCTTTACTTAACAGTAGAACCTTAATCAATGTGGTTTAAAAGTATGTGTAAAGTACAAGGAGTCAGTACCTTGAAAGTGCAAATTAGTTGGAAGAAACATTGTTACCTGTCCAACCTCCTTAAATTCATTGAATTAACTGCATTGAAAACTTGGAGCATGTCTGCATCCTGAATCTGAATCTAAAAAGCACACATTAGTTATACAAAGTCACCTCCTAACACACATTCAAGTCAGGGCCGCCTTCCGAATAGCAGCTGTGCCCTTCCAGCCCACATGAATAGCAGGAAGCCAGACACCACGAATTATGGCAACCCTGTCTTCCCTGTTTGCAGAAAACCCCGTGCTGTTTCACCAGTCAAGCTGGGGATGTTATCTGCTGTTAAAAGCTTCCTGCAAAAGTTCAAACGCTAGCCCAGCCTCATCATAACCTCCTCTGAACCACGTGGTTAATTACTTACCCAGGCTCAGGGCCTTTTGTCTCACATAGCCTCTCTGTGCTAATCAAATTTAGCACAGTAGCAAATGCAGCTTGGAAATAACATTGAAAGAAAGCTGGGAAATATTTATCAACATCAGGATCTCTCAAGACTTGAAGAAAAGCCTCTAAGGGACTGCCTTCCAAACTTGTACAGTAGCTTTTTACATTTTTGCTGTTTTGGAAACCAACCAACAACTGTTTACATTTCACGACTAGAAGGATTTGCGCTCACACTTTCCCTTTGTTGCAGTGTCGGGAAAACTTGTGAGTGTGGGGATTTTGCAAAGGCTTCTAATAGAGCAAGAAAAAGTGAGAGAGGGAGTAGAAAGAAATGGAAAAAAGAACCAACAAGCCAAGAAGGCATTGCTGTTACAGAGCAGAGGAAGGACCGGTAAGGATGTGCCACAATTTAAGCTGAAAGCTGGAAGAAATGTGTGCAAAGCAGGCACAGCACAGCCCACGTGCATGGAACGAGACATCCAGTGTCCAAATATTGGCATTTATCATGTATCATAACCTAAAAATGACCCAAGTTTAAACCTCGTAAAACATGGCATGTGCAACAGATCATCTCCACCTGACTACAGAGAAATCCCACCCAAACACACACACCAAGCTGACTGAGATGCATCACTCTACTGAATTTCATAAAGTTGCAGTGTGCCAAATCACATCGCACAGCCCCCATATTCCCCGCAGCATATCAAAACCATCCATGATTTCTTGCAAAATATATAAAATTGTAACAACTGTCATTCAGGAAGGAACACCTTGCAAGTCGCTCAAATCCTCCATCCTAAAAGTAACCCCACACCTGCCTCCCAGGTCTCAGCAAAGCCCCATCCCTGACTTCACAGATGTTGTGCAGAACACAGCCCACAGTTATTATTCCAGACAGGTACTATTTATTTGCCTCAAGCCTTCTAGTTTGTACCTGCCATCTACCTTTCAATTTCCCAAAGGCATGCTCCATTGTCATCCTGCAGCTGCTTACGTGGTAGTCAAACACTTATTTTCTACAATGCAAATATCCAGTCAAAGGCTTCATCGCTAATGTTTTAGGGAGTAGAGTGACTCTTCAGGGATAAGAAGAGGAATGCTGGTGCTATAGGTATCACACCGCTGGCTCTTCCCCCTGCCCAGTAATGCACACGGCCAGCTGTGCAATATTATACATGAGAAATTTTTTTCCTTCCTGACCCTTCCCCAGGTAGCAATCACTCCATGCCCTAAAGCAAGATACTTCCTTCTAATTATACTTTCTTTTTAAATTCTCCCTTACTCGTTACAGAAAACAAGCAAGATTTTCTGAGAAATCTAGCACCTTATACTGCATTAAAATCGGTTAATCTAACATGTAGTTAAGAAAGGTATTGCAGCACACTCAGGAATCGACCTTTCTCTTTGTGAATGCCAGCGACCATCATGAAAAGAAAACAGAAACAGGGGTTTCATCAACAGTTTCAGTCAGAAATTCCCCATACACAAATCTATTGGTAATCTCTTGAACACTGGCAAGCATTATCAGATGCAATACTACTTTTTCCATGGCAACGCAATGACTTTTAGAAAAAAGCCATTTCTACGTCTGCTAATTCGGCTGTGGGACCAGGTGGCAATGGATAAACATTTTCATCAAGATACAGAAAGTCACAGCTGGCAAATGGCTTCTGGATTTCCCAGGTAACCCCCATATACATCATCAGGAAAGCACATTTGGATGTCCTGAAGTTCAGGTGCCACTGCCAGTCATTGCTGCTGATGGCACAGTCTCCCTCATCTCCTCTCCACCCATGTAGTTGAAGATCTACACATTTCCAGTATCTCTGTTGTCCATAATGATCCATTATGGGTTTGGAAGTGGCGCTGGCTTCTTGAAAAGAAGCAGCTAACATATGGCATGAGAGGAACCATGGGATTCTGTTAGTTTGATTTTCAGGAGAAAACTTTGGCTATGTATCCAACCAGGAGCTACAGGCATAATCCCACGAAGCAGAGACCGGCCTCAGCAGCAGCATGCAGGCACACGGCAAGAGCCGCCGCGCCGTGCAGACGCTCCTCCATCACATCGAAGCAGTGACCTGTCGTGAAGCAAAAGGCTGTTTGTTACCATGCCTGTGTTTTGTGCCAATTATGAGGCAGTTACACTGAAAAATGTCGCTTTGATGTAAATCTCTTCAGGTAGTGAATGTTAAACACCACACACTGCTGGGTAGGTGTATGATTTTGCAGGATTGGAGCCCGCATCCAGGAGTAATTAGCAGGACTGTGCCAATCTTCAGTCCATGTACTGGACTGCTGGGCCTGATGCAACGGCTCCACAGTAGGGTATCGTAATTAGCAGAGATGCAACACACGGAATAATTGGAAAGATAAGGAAATGCCACTGAAGTTTATATAAGGGAAAAAATTTCCTTAGATCCAGACAATCTCGTGTCACCATGAAACTTAAGGCTCTCCTTTCGCGGGGGTGTGACGGAGCACAGCTATTAAAAAGCGATAATTTCCTTTTTGCTGTGGTGAAGCCGTCATTCCCAGGGGTGCTGGGGCCCTGCCGGGGAGCCGGCTGCGTGGCGGGGCGGGAGGGCCCCCAGCTGCCCCCAACCCCGGACCACCCCGCAC